CAACCAGTGGGATATTTGAAACTAGGCACTAAGGGCATCAGGAAACTTTTTGAACGCCACTTTTGTTAGGAAAATGTAAGGGTTAATGTTTCTTTCTGTGTTATTAGTTATATTTTATATTTATTTGCTAAGAAATAAATAAATCAAACTACAGATATTTCTAGAAGTAAAAAAAAAACGAAAAAAAAAGTTAATAATGTGCAAAATAAATTAAAGAGCAAACCACTGAGGCGTTGTCTTGTATATTATTATAATACTCTAGAAAGTGATAAGTATTATTTAAAACTAAAGAAGGTAAAGTTATGAGCTGTATGATTATGAAACAGATAGCACTTTTGAAAGTATCTACTCACGCCGCGTATCGGTACTTCACAATCCTCTTAATAAATAATGTGAAACTGAACAAATTTTAAGACAACCACTAAAAGAAACAAAATGATGGTACATAATTTACTACTGATTGTGTTAAATCTCCAATTGTGTGGAAATAAAGTTAAGTATTTTGTTTGTGTAATTACTATTATTGAAGTGAAAAATTCTTTAGCATCGTTGTGCTTTGCAACAAATGAAACGAAGAAGCGACACCGAAAAGAGGCAAATAAGTATACAAATCTATAGGAGAAAATTAGATAGAATCTATACTAATATAATAAAGCGAAAGAGGTTTTTTTTTTTTGTTTAAAACTACCAATCCCTGAAATTCTTAGTCCGATTTCATAAACTATTTTTGTATATGATAGCTAGATATACGAGTAATAGTATAGGCTCTAGCCTTAGGCCTTAGATCTAGCATTAGGCTACACCTCTCAGGTAGCCTAAAAAGCTTAGTAATAGTTATTAATACGTAAATACTATTTTCTACACAAATATAGATCTTTCCTCCATCTAAAAAAAATCCGTAAGCCACAATAAGGTATTTTGTGACATTATTTGCTGTCAAGTTTTTTTTTATAGTATAGGGTGACAAACGAGTATACAGTCCACCTGATGGTAAGTGGTTGCTACGGCCCATAGACATTTACATCTATCCTCTATTACAAATGAAAATGCAGATGCATTGTCACCCGTGAGCACTAAGATGGAATGCCTCATTTCCAGTAAAAAGGGTCTCCGGTTCTCTACACTCACCATACGAAACACAGCAGCGTCAAGCTGATATTCTGTGAGAGCGTGGTCCTTCCCCGGTCGAGCCGACCCATTCGTGCTACAACTATACTACTGATATAGCTGCAGCATGGCTCTACCACGTTGAAAAATATATTTCTTTTTATTTAAAGGTTTTACTTCTATCACGTGTGAACTGCACACATGCTCTTTTTACTATCCGATGTGGGGAAGACAAAGGGATCTTAGTTCATACAGCCATAAACACAATCAAATTGCTTTTGTGTTAATTATGGAAAAACGCGAGTGTATGTTGGCACATAATTTTTTTTTGTGCACATCTATGTCAAGAGATACTTTGAACACTTCTACTATACTAAATGTTAAAACAGGTACATTCCATTTTCAATGTTTCATGTTTTAAATACAGTGTTATTTTTCAAAGAGTATAAATAATGATATACCGTTAAAGCAGTTTTTGAAAATGCGAGTAAAAAGGCTCCTACTTTTAATTGAAATCATCGAAAATTGAATGTGATTTATGGGCAACAATGTTTTTGCCTACCGATCGACCCTTACGAATGTGTGCGTGCGCAGTAAAATCAGTTATAATAATGCATTATCACGCATTTTGAATTTAAAAGATAAAAAAGGGCAGAATGTTTGAGATTTTTTTAAATAAATTTTTCTTTGCCATTTGCCTATATTGCTTATTCTGATCCTTCTTTGCAAATTAGACCGGTTATTGCAAAATAGCCATGTATAATGATTTTCTATTCCATTTTTTTACAGACCGTTTGCCATAATCCTTGTGAAAGAAACGTAGTGATTATACACTCTTAGATCCTTGCATTACAAATGTCATTATATCATTATCGTCATTATATCATCGGTGAAACTACGCTAAATGCTGTTTCCACCGTTTTTTGACGGGAACATAACCGGCGACGGATTGCTGCTCCTGTATTATTGTTTAAATAATGGTTTGAAGTGGACTTGATACTATTATTACTATTGACTGATATGTAAAAGTGGTGCGATTTTGTGTATTAAGTGTCTGCGCATGTGAACTATTAGCGGAAACAGTGAAACAAGTGCTCTGATGGTGATGGATTCTCAAGATAAGGTGTCTGTCTGCTTAGACACCTTGAGATACCATCCCCAACTGTCAGCTGTCTGCTGGCTCGTTTTTTTTATTTTTTTTTTTATATAGGATAAGGGTGACAAACGAGCACACAGTCCACCTGATGGTAAATGGTTGCTGCGGCCCATAGACATCTACATCTATCCTCTATTACAAATCAAAATGTAGATGCGTTGTCACCCGTGAGGACTAAGATGGAATGCCTCATTTCCAGTAAAAAGGGCCTCCGGCCACCTGCACTCACCAAGCGAAACGCAGAGGTAAACCTCTACTTCACGCTGGTATTCTGTGAGGTCGTGGTACCACCCCGGTTCGAGCCGACCCATTCGTGCGACAGCAAAAGCTGCCGCGTGGCTCTACCACTGTTAAAAATTTGCCATCAAAATCTCCCAAGTGCTGCATAATGTGACGTATCAACATATTGTGAAGCAGTATAATATGAAGGATAATTATTAAAATATATTGTAACTTCAGGCTCAGAAGGGCTAGAACCCAGAGCCGTAAAGCCAGTTAAAAAAATGTTGTTTCCATCCATTGATTTCACACAAAGATATATCAGTTGCATCCCTTTTAAATGGCATTTGGTCCCCTAATTTTTTTTGTTTTGTTCGGTATGTTGAATATGCGACTGCTTCATTTTACTAGCTTCGTCTACTCTAGTCTACTTAACACAGACCTAAATGAAACTTGTTGATAAAAATAATGTCAGTAATATCTTTTATACTAAAGTTCAAGCACCAAAAGCACTTATATAGACTCGGGCCAGATGTTTTATGGAGTAACCAAGGTAGAGTTGATTTGTAACAACAAATATCTCAGGTGTGCGTGATGGTGTGTGCATGATTTTGTGTGATAGCGTGTGTGATGGTGTTTTTGTGTGATGGCACGTGTGATGGTGTGTGTGTGATGGTGTGTGTGTGATGGTGTGAGTGATGGCGTGTATGATGTCGTGTTTGTGGTGGTGTTTATGATGACGTTGTGATGGTGTGCGTGTGGTGGTATGTATGATGGAGTGTTTGTTGGTTGGCGTGTGTGATGGTGTGTGTGACGGTGTGTGTGATAGTATGAGTGATGGCATGTGTGATGGTGTGTGTGATGTAGTGTGTGACGGTTTGTGTGATGGTGTGTGTGATGGTGTATTTATGATGGTGTGTGTGATGACGTGTCTCATGGTGTGCGTGATGGTGGGTGTATTTGTTGGATGGCGTGTGTGATGCTGTGTCTGATGGTGTGTGCGTTATTGTATGTGTGAATGTGTATTAGATGGTGTGTGTGATTGTGTGTGATTGTGTGTGTATGTATGCGTGTGTGTACGCGTGTATGATTGCGTGTGTGATGGTGTGTGTGTGTGTGTTGGTGGCTGTGATTGTGTGTGTGATGGTGTGTGCGACAGCGGGTGTGATGACATGTATGCGATGACGAGTGTTTTGGCGTGTGTGATGGTGTGTGTGATGGTGTGTATGATGGGGTGAGTGATGGTGTGTGTCATGGTGTATTTGTTATGTTGTTTGTGATGGTGTGTGTGTAAAGGCGTGTGTGATGATGTGTGTGTGATAAAGTGTTTATTGGCTGGCTTATGTATTGGGTGCGTGATGGTAAGTGCGTGATGGTATGTGGGTGAATGCATGTGAGATTGCGTGTGTGATGGTGTGTGTGTGTGATTGCATGTGTGATTGCGTCTGTGCTTGCGTGTGTGATGGTGTTTGTATGTGATGGAGTGTGTGATGGTTTGTGTGATGGTGTGTGTGATGGTGTGTGTGTGTGATAGTGTTTGCGTGATGGTGTTTGTGTGATGGTGTGTGTATGTGTAGGTGTGTGTGTGATGGTATGTTTGTTGGTGTGTGTGATTGTGTATTTGTGATGATGTGTGATGACGTGTGTGATGGAGTCTGTGTTGGTTGGCCTGTGTGATGGAGTGCGTGATTGTGTGTTTGTGATTGTATCTGTTATAGCGTGTGTTATGGCGTGCGTGATGGTGTGTCAGAATGTGTGTGTGAATGCGTGTATGATTGCGTGTGTGAAGGTGTGTGTGTGTGATGGCGTGTGTGATGACGTATTTGATTACATGTGTGATTGTGTGTGTGATTGTGTGTGAGATTGTGTGTGAGATGGTGTGTGTGTGTGTGTGTGTGTGTGTGTGTGTGTGTGTGTGTGTGTTGATGTGTGTGTGAGTGATGGTGTGTGTGTGTGTGTGTGTGTGTGTGTGTGTGTGTGTGTGTGTGTGTGTGTGTGCGCGTGTGTGTGTGTGTGTGTGTGTAATGGTGTGTGTGTGTGTGCTGTGTATGATGGTGTGTAGGATGGTGTATTTGTGGTGGTGTTTATGATGACGTGTGTGATGGTGTGTGCGATTGAATGTGTGATTGCATGTGTGATTGCGTGTGTGATAGCGAGTGTGATGGTGTTCGAATGTGATGGTGTGTGTGATGGTGTGTTTGATGGTGTGTTTGATGGTGTGTTTGATGGTGTGTGCGATGGTGTGTGATTTGGTGTGTGTGATGGCGTGTGTGATGGCGTGTGTGATGGCGTGTGTGATGGCGTGTGTGATGGCGTGTGTGAAGGCGTGTGTGAAGGTGTGTGTGTGTGTGGTGGTGTGTGTTATGGTGTATGTGATGGCATGTGTGATATGGTGTGTGTGTGTGTGTGTGTGTGTGTGTGTGTGTGTGTGTGTGTGTGTGTGTGTGTGAGTGTGTGCGCGCGCGTGTATGTGTGCGCGAGCGAGTGCGTGTGAATGTGTGTGTATGTGTGAGGGCACCTTATCGGCGCAGCGTTGCACGATTTCGGCGGTGAAGTGCGGCAGTTGGCGCAAGTAGGAGTCCTTGGCCCACATGGCCTGCGTCACCATCTGCGCCAGCTCCATGGCGGCCACGCCCGGCGACAGCCAGCCGCTGCTCGACACCACGTCCACGCAAGCCTGGATCAGCCGGATCGCCTGCAGAACAACTTCTTATTACTATCTTCCACTATTAACCTTACATCTTACTAAAGTCCACCGCTGAACATAGGCCTCCTCATAGATAGTCACATAGGGGACAATTCATCAGTATTTAGCCACAGTTTAAAAAGATGTTCAATCATTATCACAATATTCTCGGTATATTTCGCTATAAAAAAAAAATTCGATCATAATTACTATATTCGGGTATATGTCGTTATTTAAAAAAAAATCGATACACAATACTCTGGTGTATTTCATTAATACAAAAAAAATATATGTTTATTTAAAAAAAGATCGTCGATCAATATCACAATATTCCGCTATATTTAGTAATTTCAAAAAAAGATCTTCGATCACTATCACTATATTCCGGTATATTTGGTTCTTTTAAAAAAAGATCTTCGATCACTATCACTTATATATCCCGGTATATTTGGTTCTTTTAAAAAAAAATCTACGATCATTATCACAATATTCCGGTATATATGGTTATTTTAAAAAAGATCTTCGATCACTATCACTATATTCCGGTATATTTGGATCTTTTAAAAAAAAATCTTCGATCATTATCACAATATTCCGGTATATTTATTTATTTCAAAAAAAGATCTTCGATCATTATCACAATATACCGGTATATATGGTTATTTTAAAAAAGATCTTCAATTTTTGTCACTATATTCCGGTATATTTGGTTATATTAAAAAAGATCTTCGATCACTATTACTATATTCCGGTATATTTGGTTTTTTTAAAAAAGATCTTCGATCATTATCACAATATTCCGGTATACTTAGTTATTGTAAGACAAAAATCTTCGAACATTATCACTTTATTCCATTATATTTCGATATTTAAATAAAAATCGATAATTATCACTATATTCTGGTATATTTGGTTATTTAAGAAAATCGATCACAATCCACTATACTCAAGTGTATTTCGTTATTAAAAAATCCGATAATTATAAGTACAATCCGGCATATCATGTTATTAAAAAAAAGTTTTTCGATCATTATCACTATTTTCCGGTATAATTCTTTTAAAAAAATGATCACTATAACTACATTTCGGTATATCGTGTTAGTAAAAAAAGTTTTTATTGTACTTAGTCACGACATTCCGGTATATTCCGTGACTTGTGTCCGTTAATGGTAAATTCACTATAATATTCCGGTATATTTCGTTACTTAAAAAAAAATCGATCACTATCCACTATACTCCGGTGTATTTCGTTTATACAAAAAAAGTCGATTATTATCACTACATTCCGGTATATATCGTTATTGAAAAAAATCGATCATTATCCACTATACTGCGGTATATTTCGTTATTAAAAAAATTCATATCACTAATATACATAGGCTGCACTAAAAGTATCGGGAATGGAATATTTCCACTGTTCCTGTCATATTAAAATCTTTTTAATTGAAAACTCCTTGGTTTTAAAAATCGAATACCATTTATTTATTTAAAAAAAGATTCTCGGTCTTGTCACAAGGTTTTGTCAAACTTGTTTAGTCGTTGAGAAAATGGAATTGACTCGAGAAAATTCAAGAGCGATGATTTATTATGACTTCCGAAGTGGTTTAACACAAAAACAGTGTGTTGACCGGATGATTTCTGCATTTGGTAATGAAGCCCCATCCAAAACCACAATTTATCGCTGGTTTGCTGAATTTCAACGTGGACGTGTCAAGCTCAGTGATGATCCTCGTCAAGGTCGTCCAAAAACTGCAGTCACCCAAGAAAACGTTGCTGCTGTGCGTAAGCTGATTGAGGAAGATCGTCATGTGACATTTATTGACACGCGAAATTCAGACAACTTTAGACATTGGCATGAGTCAAATACAAATAATCTTGCATGAACAATTAGGTGTAAAAAAGTTGTTTTCCCGATGGATACCGCATTCGCTCTGTGAAGAGCAAAAAGCGGCTCGCGTTACTTGGTGCGTCAGAACTCTCGAAAGATTCCACGAAGGATCCTCAAATGCTGTATACAACATCGTATCAGGTGACGAATCCTGGATATACGCGTACGAACCCGAAACAAAAAACCAGTCATGAGTTTGGGTGTTCGAAAATGAGTTAAAGCCAACTCTTGAGGGACAAAGAACGGTTAATGCAGAATGGTATGCTAGCATTTGTTTGCCACAGGTCGTTTCTGAACTCCGTAAAGAGAAATGCAACCGCCGCATCATCCTCCATCACGACAATGCGAGTTCTCACACCGCACACAGAACAAAAGAGTTTTTAGAGCAAAAAAACATAGAATTATTAGACCATCCGCCGTACAGCCCCGACCTAAGCCCTAATGATTTCTATACTTTCCCTAAAATAAAGAATAAATTGCGTGGACAGAGATTTTCATCACCTGAAGAAGCTGTCGACGCCTACAAAACGGCCATTTTGGAGACCCCAACTTCCGAATGGAATGGTTGCTTCAATGATTGGTTCCATCGTATGGAAAAATGTGTCAAATTTGACGGAGAATACTTCGAAAAGCAATAAATACATTTTTAAATAGTAATGTTGTGTCACTTCCTTGATTCCCGAAATTTTCAGTGCCGCTCTCGTAGTGATATGATTGAATTTTTATACAATAAAAAATATATTTAAAAAAAAAACATTTTACGATCACTACTAAGCTACTGCGCCAAGGAGTCGTCAAAAGTATTACTACAGTCGACTCTCGATAATTTGATATTTCATTTCGGTCCCTTGATAAATACTCGATAAATTGAGTAAAATCAATATTAACTGGTCCCCACGGTAATATAAAGTTGAAAGAATAGTATCTTGCCCGCCGCCATCATGCAATAATTTGAAGTCTGAGCTTCTCTACTCTCGATAATTTGAAGCGTTTAACGTGCACAGACCTGTCGTTTATTTACGCACATGTACAGACCTGTCGATTGTTTACTTAAATGAGAGACTTCTTTTCAAAATGAACATTAGTGAATAAGCGTACAAAATGTTTAAAATAATAAATCACGAATTTTGATCAAACTCTTGTTTACTTGATTTTTACTCCCTACATCTTGGTTATCTGAGCTCCTGTTATTTTCAACTCTTGATTTTTTTCTCTGGTCCCTTGAATTTCAAATTATCGAGTCGACTGTATACTATAGTAATTTATTTTTAGACAGGTATTATTATTTATTAGTTAGTAATTTGCTTGCATGTAGGTTAGTTAAAACTGGTTATAACTAAACCTAATAATCAATAACTAATTAGCATCACATTATTGTAAAAATTGTTGTAAATGAGTATAGAGGATAGACGAAGCGACAATAGCAAAGTCGTGGGTTCGAATCCGTCATTCAACTACTGTCGAGAATCACACCTGACACAAGTGTTTGGGCCTTGGAATGTCGTGTAGTGGCGGTGTGAAATATTCAGCTCGTAATATGGCTGTAGCTAGTGCATTGTATAAGGACAGACATGCTAATCAATAATGAATTATACTGAATTCATATTTAAATCGAGCGTACTTCTTGCGATATATACGAAAACTAACCGATTAGCATCGCAACTACTCGCAGGAAACGTTTGACAAGCTGTCGCGAGTGCGCTTGCTACGTAGTTCACATCTGCAAGCCACTGTCTGACATTTCTTGCAAGTGGAAACACGGCCTAACAATGTTCACTACCGCATATCGCCCCGGGGATGCTGTAAGAGCCGACGGAGGGAAACAAACCAGTAGATGGGCAGCGGCGTCTTCCTGATACCAACTGAAACAAACTACAGTTGCAAGCCCGCCTGCCAAATATGGCAACTATGGCAAATATCCCCCCTATGAGGCAATATATGGGGAGGACTATGTTTAGCAGTGGACTTAGATAAGCTTTAATGAGGGCATCCACGACTTTTTCTGCCACCAGGGCGGCGCCACCTTACAATGAGGTAAAATATTTGACAGGTTTCTAAGCGGGTAAGATAATTTCTTAGGAAAATGTAAAAAGGTTTTAAAATGTAAAAAAATATTATTAGATTAAAAATGAATAAACCAAAATATAAATATAACTAAAAGTAGAAAAGTTAAAAATCAAACCACAGACGCATTGTGTTGTGTATTAATATAATACACAAGAATCTAGTGACTAGATAATGATAAAGTATGATTTAAAACTAATTTCTCAATTAACTGCCACATCTGGTGAGTGAAAGATTATTAGCCCTCGTTAAATAATTTGTTTGTATGTGTGATACAAATCGAAGCAAAAATCAATCTGTCGCAATAAGATAGTTAAAGCCGTGATATAGTTATATCCTTAGGGATAGATAATATTTTTAGTTATATGAAAGCGGGTCATATTTCATAACTATCTTACTAGACGAATCTAGTGAAATAATTATAATTGTAGTTTGTTTGTAATTTATTAGTCAAAACTACTTTTGATTTATACTTTTTGAATCTTTGAAATTAAAAAGTTAATAAATAAATTCTTTCAATTTTACATTTTATATCGTTATAATGTACGCGGATTTAGGGTGGCCCAACGGCCACCCCAGCCGCACCTTTACCTACTGTCAAAACAGGAACATGAACAACAACACAACAGGAACATCAATGTCGCGTAATTTGTTCCTCCTGTACATTCAATTTACAATTATAATTATTTCACTAGATTAGTCTAGTAAGGGTGCGTACAGATTAAGTAACATGTTATGTAACTTTTGTTTTATAACTCGTACACATTATATAACATTGTTTTACAACATTGCAACAAATAACAATACTGTACACATTAGAATAACAATACAATATAACAATGTTATAAGACATTGTCGTTTGTCGTTGCCCCGCACGACGCCTCCGTCGCATCTCGAGTTATATAACATTCAGCCTCCAAATTACCGAAACATGTTATATAACAACGCACCGTAAGACAGTTAAGAACCGGTATATAACTATATCCCTAGGGATATAACTATATCACGGCTTTAACTATCTTACTGCGACATATCTAAAACCACGCTTATTTCGTTGTAACACACACTCACGCACACATATGTCTCAAGCCTGGTTCCTCTGTATTGAGATGGTGTTCCAAGGTTTTGATACAGGAACTGTAGTCCACAAGGTGGTGGCCGTAGCTTACCTTGGTGAGCACGAGGGCCGTATCTAACACACACCATAGTGAAATTTTTATTACGTTGTAGAGCCATGCTGCAGCTATATTAATTGTATAGCTGCAGCAAGAATGAGTCGGCTCGACCGGGGAAGGACCACGCTCTCACAGAATACCAGCGTAAAATAGCAGCTTAACGCTGCTGTGTTTCGTATGGTGAGTGTAGAGAACCGGAGACCCTTTTTTTGGAAATGAGGCATTCCATCTTAGTCCTCACGGGTGACAACGCATCTGCATATTGATACGGAATCGAGGATAGATGTAAATGTCTATGGGCCACAACACCCACTTCTCATCAGGTGGGCTGTGTGTGCTCGTTTGTCACCCTAATACTATAATGAAAAAATTATTTTAGTAGCATATGTGTGGTTCCTCTGTCTGTTTGCTGGATGTGAGGCTCTGATCCGTGGACCGTAGCCCAAAAGCATTGGTAGCTGGTCACCTTTGTGAGCACGATGGCGGTGTCAGCCTGTAGCTCTGCTGGCAGCTGCATGCGCGACAGATGTGCTTGCAGCAGTACATGGGCCTTCACGTGCGGGTCGTTGTACCGCACTGTGGCTGACCCGGAGCCTGGCTTGTGTGGAACCCTGTACACAAAGTAATAATAATGTCATTTAGACCGAATTTCGGTCACGTTGGCCAGCCTCAACGGAGACTAGCCATCGCCGCAAGACAGCATTATAGTATACGAGTGTATGCGCAAGCACTCGTAATCCGATGGGACGGTAAACCGACACGAGCGGAGAGAGATCAGGCGCATGACTAACGGCTTTACGTGCTTTCCGAGGCACGGGGTTAAAACATCGTCAGCTTCTTGACTCCGGGCAGCTACTGAGAATTTCTTGATGGAAAAGCTCAATAATTGATTTTTTTTGGTCCGACCCGGCAATCGAACCCGGGACCCTTGATCAACAGTCGCACTACTACAACCCACTAGAACAACGAGGCAGTCGTAAAATTAATGTTATAATAACTAGCCTAATGATCGAAATTACATCCTAATTCATTAAATTTTTAAGTTTGTATTTCATGAGAGTATGAGGGTAGTGTAAGAATATCAATTACCGTTTGTCGTCGATTTTTTTTTGTCGCCTCGTAGGTGTCGTAAGAGGCGACAGAGGGAAACAAACTAAGAAAAGAGATCTATACAAATAAATAAAATTTAACTGTCTGTTTGTAAAATAACAGCTTTATACTAAATGCATATGAAAGTATATACGGTACTTATAACAAAAACACAATTCTTTAAAATTTTTATCTGTTCGTTTGTTCCGGCTTGGTCTCCGAAATGGCTGTACCGATTTTGACGGGACAGATAGCTGACGTTATAAGGAGTAACTTAGGTCTACTTTTATTCTAGAAAAATAATTAGGGGCTCTACGCAATAAAATTAAAACCCTAAATTACACGCGGAAAAAGTGGCGGGGAACAGCTAGTTACAAAATACAAAATATTGCGGTTACCAAACTCTCCTACTTAGCGTAACAACTATTACAAATATCCTCCTATGAGGCAATCTATGGGGGAGGCTGTTCAGGAGTGGACTTTAATAGGCTGTAATGGATGGATGTATAGAAGATAATCTACCAGGAGCACATGACCCACTGAGGGTCAAAATTTTCAAATCAACAGTAACATTACAACTATGTCAAAACCCCCCCTATGTGGCAATCTATGGGGGAGGCCTATGTTCAGCAGTGGATATTTGATGGTCTGTAAAGGTGACGGTAGTTATTGCGTTCTACTGTAACCGCAACCGCAACAATGCAACAATGACAAATAGCCCGGGCCTATCAAAAATCTGAATTTTGAACGGACGAACAATCGGGCATAACCTCAATCATGCAATATCATAATGTAACATTACACATTAGTTCTTTGCAATTATATTTTAATACATAAATTTGTATCCGCATTGAGGATCCGATCTAATTACATTTGCAGCATCTGGAGTCTGATAGGTCAACGAATTTCAAATCCTATGTACTCCAGGTTCCTGCAAAACACAAAGAGACATTTCTCACTCCCGATTTCTGGCCCTCTTAGATAGTGTTTCGCCGATACAGGGTCGCGCCAAAGGAGAAAGTTCCCTAAATAGTGTGTTATATTTATATTTTATATATATTTTTAGTTTAAGGTATATATTGCTATGGGCAAATGTTCTTCAAGTCCATGATGCCTTGAATTAAAGTAAAAATTTTCATTTTTGGAATTCGACTAAATCAATATATTATATACATCGCCCAAGAGCAGGAGCTTCTAAATAATATTGTTAATTGAAAGTCATTTTTTATTTGTACCACTAGATACGGGAACAAACCTCTAACCTGAGAAGAATCAGCATGAAACCCCCAGCAATACCTTTGCCTACAGTAATATTACACAATAAAAAAATAAAAAGTCTATTAAACTGACTTAAAAAAAGGTAGAGGTACTCAATTCGACTGTATTTTTTTAATGTGTGTTACCTCAGTACTTTTTTCTAGGTGAACCGATTTTAATGATTCATTATTTACTTGAAAGCTGGTGCTTGTCATATGGTCCCATATAAATTTGATCAAGATCCGACCAGTAGTTATTGAGTTATCCATAATAATGCGTATTTGATTGACTTCGACTACACTGATGATGTTCTCATTTTATATATATTGAAGTACCATTAATGTAATGATAAAACCAAGAAAATCCGTTGGAGCTTCCTCATATGGCCGACAGTGAATCCGAATTCCGTATGTCATCACCAGTGGTTGTGATGACAAATTGAACGAATGGAATTCTAAAAACAAACAACTTACTTAGCAGCGAGCGCCTTTATGATGTTTTCTTCACGGTGCCTGATGCACAAATCGGAGTACTCCGCTGCCGAGGAAATGATCTCCAGCAGACCACGGATCTTGGTCTTGCTGGTGAGGGACAGACTGAACAGCTCTGGAATTAAATGGAATGATGTTTGAATTATTTTTACTTACTTAACTATACCTATACGTGGCAGAGCAATGCCGCAGCTATATTAGTAGTATAGTTGTAGCACGAATGAATCAGTTCGTTCGTGGAAGCTGCTATGTTTCGTATGGTGAGTGTAGAGAACCGGAGACTTTTCACTCGAAACGAGGCATTCAATCTTAGTCCTCACGGCTGACAACGCATCTGCATTTTGATTCTCAAACGAGCATAGATGTAGATGTCTATGGGCCACAGCAACCACTTACCAGTCCACACACTTTTACTTCTTCAGTTAGCCGTCAGCCACCGGAATCTAATTCACCTGAGGACGCCTCGTCTATAGTCGAAACACGTGTCGTATTATCGACGGTGGTGTGTCTTTGATAGTGTGTGGTGATGGGATTAGTGGTGACGGGAATAGTGCACGCAATTGAGGGAGGGTGGGAGGTGCTCTTAACTAGGTAAAATACATCATTTACTTTTATCACCCCCGACGACATTGTTGCGTGCAAACGGACGAACCGATCTTGTTGATCTTTGGAAGTTGATCGAGTGCGTTCTTAGCTCAAGCTTCAAGAAAATCAAAATTTATTTGTTTATAGTTATTTATATATACATTTATTGATATATATATATATATATATATATATATATATATATATATATATATATATATATATATATATATATATATATATATGTATATATTAATATATATGTATATGAATTATATATTTTTATATATACGTGTATATTTTATGTATGTATTGCATGTATATATTTGACAACTTAACTGCCCAAACTCACTCTCTGTTCTACCCAAGGTTAGCTGGTAGAGAATGCCATATAGCATTAAGCTCGCATTTTGTACAAATATTTGCAATAAAGAATAAATAAATAAATAAAATCTGTTCAGCCGTTTGAAGATCATCAACTCTTTTTGTTTCTTGGGTGATTTTAAATTTTAAATTTAAAGTATTACGTTCATTTTTAATTAATTTTTAAAATCTATACAAATAAATAAAATTGAAGTGTCTGTTTGTAATATTAATATAACAGCTTTTTAATAAATGTATATGAGAGTATATACGCTACTAATAACAAAACAAAAAACAATTTTTTAAATTTTTGTCTGTCTGTCTATTTATTCCGGCTAATCTCCAAAATGGCTGGATAGATTTCGATGAGACTTTCACTAGCAGATAGCTGAAGTTATAAGGAGGAACTTAGGATACTTTTATTTTAGAAAAAAAAAAATTGGGTTCCGAGCAAAAGAATTAAAACCCATGAAATCGTAGTAAATTCCACGCCATCGAAGTCGCCAGGGACAGCTAGATTTACTATCTTTAATATAATAGATTTCCGCAAAATAAGGCTTGATTCTATTAATTTTGTTCTACCCTCAATATTATAAGCAAATAAACGGACTCACCGATGGTGGTGTAGTTGATATAGTAGTAAGAGGCGATCATGCCCAAATTGAGTGGTCTCACGTCCATCTCGTCCTCTATGGCGATGCACTTCGACTGTTCGAGCTCTGACAGGGTCGTTTCCACCAACTCCGAAAGATGGTCTGATAGGTGCCTGAGAACAATTAGCAAGCAAATACTTAGCAATTATGGCATTTAGCAATTTGTACAGGCGAACTGAACTGTAAATTTTGTACAGCCGACTTCAATATAAATTATTAAGAATAATTCAAAAACTGTTGGTCTGACCTTGATGAAATTCATATGGGATCACACGAGAAGTATCAGCTTTCAAATAAAAAAGAATAATCGAAATCGGTTCACCCAGTAAAAAGTTATGAGGTAACATACATAAAAATAAAAAAAACATACAGTCGAATTAAGTAGCGGCTTCTTTTTGAAGTCGGTAGAAAAGAAAAGGGTGAAATGTTGTGTGTTATCGTGTAAAAACTACTCAGATAGACGCTCTGATGCTATGGATGGCATCACATTTCATTTGTAAGTAATTTAATACCTAATTTCTTAAAATAGTTCTAGAAAAATCTCTTTACGTCGGGTTTCAAATATAATTAAATATATTCAACACTAGATGGCGACACTTTGTGTCATGGGAACTAAAAATATAAAGGTACGTAGAGCTCAGTATTGGTAACATAATCAAACAAACGTGATGAAATTTGTTGTTCATTCAGTCCTAAAGAATTTTTTATCGCAAAAATATTATTTTTATAGTTTTTATAATCATTTTGTGAACAGGCCGCCATCTATAGCCAAGGCAGCTGAACTACATTGCAACATCGATATGGAACGATGCGACTAGTTTTATCGGGAGATGGAAAACAGTTAAGTGGGCGGGGGCTTAACACCCCCCCTACACCGCAAATTGTCACGCGTTGTTACATAGTGAAATCTAATTACAACACCTCCTCTTTGTATTTGCTCTGTGATTGTATCGGTCAGGAAACATCGCCGGTGGTAAACAATACCACAAAGAAGTCGCGCGAAAAAACAAACTCCTAGTAAAGTCAAAGATATACCTGTGAGTAACTCCTTGCAGATTGTAATAATTAGGGTTCTGCGTCAGCCTTCGATACAGGAAAGTCCACGTCAAATAGTCCACGGCGTCTTGCTTGTTCTCTATGGTCTTGGTCACGATCTCCGCGTTCATGTGGTCGTGTAGTCTATGGTCGAGGTGACTCTGAAAAACGAGCGAAAGAAATATTAAGTTAAAACTGTAAAAGATAGTTTTTTACCGTTATCTTTACAGCCTATTAAAGTCCACTAATGAAGAGAATAGAATAGAGTTTGCAATTAACATTTTCATTGGTGCCGGTGGGGATCAAACCCGGGTTGCTCGCGTACTGTGAAAAACCCTCTCAGAAATGAGAGGTGGCCTGAGCCCAACAGTGGGACATATATAGGCTGTAACTAATATAGATTACATGTAATACTTATTCAAAGAAATTTTTTTACTTTTACCACTGGTTCGCAAAAAAAACCCAGCGGGACTTTTTTTTAAAAAAAGCACAATTTATAAAATATTATTTTATACAATTGTTACGGAAACATTTAGAAACAGCATGGTAGCGATCACCTCATTCCCAGGGATTATTATCAACCATACAGCTTCCAAGCGGTTTCTAAAATAAATTTTGTAAATAGTTTGTACAACCATTAATAAAAAATATAATTTAAAAAAAAGTCCCGCTGGCTTTCTTGCTGGTTCTTCCGAGGACGGAGGGTTCTTTTTTGGAATCAGTGGTAAAGTAAAAAATGACTTTCAATAAGAATTACAGATGTGATCTATATTGAATAAAAAAATATTCTATTCTATTCATGTACTGTTTAGTAATATAATAAAGAACCCTTACTAAACAATTTTGCTTAATAAATAATATTTTCAACCTTTTGATAGATAGTCTGCAAATTTTCTGGAAATTTGTTGTAAATATATTTATAACTAGCTGTTCCCCGCGAATTCGTTCGCGTGTTAGGAGTTTATAAGTTTTTGCGCGGAACCCTAATACTTTTTCTAAAATAAAAGTAGCCTAAATTATTTCTTATGAAATCAGCTATCTACCAGTGAAAGTCCCGTCATAATCGGTTCAGCCGTTTCGGAGATTAGCCGGAACAAGCAGACAGATAGACAGACAGACAAACATTTTAAAAATTGTATTTTAGTTGTAAGTACCGTATTTACTTTCATATGCCTTTAGTAAAAAACTGTAATTTTGACATTACAAACAGACACTTCAATTTATATATATATATATTTTTATATATATATATATATATATATATATATATATATATATATATATATATATATATATGTATGTATGTGTGTGTGTGTGTGTGTGTGTGTGTGTGTGTGTGTGTGTGTGTGTGTGTGTGTGTGTGTGCGTGCGTGCGTGCGTGCGTGCATGTGTGCGTGCGTGTTTGTGTATGTGTATTTAACTAATGGTTCATTTCTTTAAAATTACAAACTTAAACAATATAGTAGATGGGTTCTCCTAGGTCTTAAATATGAAAGCATTTAAATTACATTGTTATAAATTAAAATAGAAGTCGCCTGTATCAATAACATTTTAAGGATTATAGCGGCGATTTAAATAAGCTAATAAATGTATTACTTGTACGTATTTAAATGTAAACGCAAGTAGTATGGTTTAAGAATGGTGCGCGTGCGTGTGTCTTGTGTCTTGTGTCTTGTGTGTGTGTGTGTGTGTGTGTGTGTGTGTGTGTGTGTGTGTGTGTGTGTGTGTGTGTGTGCGCGCGCGTGCGTAGGTGCGTGCGTTAGATATAATGACACATATATAAAGACACCTCGAGCGGGAGGCAGTCGTTGAGGAGCTTGGTGAAGAAGGTCTTGTGGTGCGCGGCGCACATGAGCACGGCCACGGCGCCGTCGTCCTGCAGCGGGCGGCCGGCGCGGCCCAGCATCTGCAGCACCGTCGTCACCGCGTACTGCTCGTACGCGTGCAGCTTGCCGTTGTACCTGCACACCGCCCACGCACAACCATCCGCTCCACATTTACACTTTTTTATATAGAAAAAGGGTGACAAACGAGCACACAGTCCACCTACCTGATGGTAAGTGCTTGCTGTGGCCCATAGACATCTACGTCGTTGTCACCCGTGAGAACTAAGATGGAACGTCTCTTTTCCAGTAAAAAGGGTCTCCGGTTCTCTACACTCAACATACGAAATACAGCAGCGTTAAGCTGCTATTTTACGCTGGTATTCTGTGAGATCGTGGTTCTTCCCCGGTCGACATTTTTCGGTTTACATTGTAGTGCAACTGCTACCTACAACGTCTACTTTAAAAAATAACCCTCTCATACAGGCTTATTTATCAAAGAGTAACCAAATTTTAAACTTATAAATAATGATATACAGTTATTAAGGCTTCTACTTTTATTTAAAATTATCCCAACTTAGATGTGATTTATGGGAAACAACGTTTTTGCCTACCAGTGGACCTTTACGAGTGTGTGCGTGCGCAGTAAAATCAGTTAAAATAGTGCATTACCGCGCATTTTGACTTTAAAAGATAAAAAGACAGAATGTTTGAGATTTTTTTATTTAATTTTCTTCACCGTTTGCCTATATTACTTATTCTGAATCTTCTCCACAAATTTGACCGTTTATTGCAAAATAACCCTGTATTTCTGCCGCCAAATATTAGTTAGTGCAAGCACTGCTGTCTTCCAATCTGAAAGTTATGGAGACCCAGTATAATTGCAAGCTGTGAGGTATTCCATTTTAGCCATCAAAATTGACAACACATCTGTAGCGTTTTTAGGATTCCATACCCAAAAGGTAACCAACGGGACCTTATTACTAATCCCCCGTTGTTCGTCCGTCTCTTTGTTACCGGGCTCTATCTCACAATCTAGACAGTTAAAATTTTCGAAAAAAATGTGTATTTCTGTTGCCGCTATATCAACAATAAAAATGAAAATTAATTATTACATTTGTAGCACAAATGGGTCGGCTCAACCGGGGAAGGACCACGCTCTCACAGAATACAAGCGTGAAATAGCAGCTTAACACTGCTGTTTCGTATGGTGAGTGTAAAGAACATTCCATCTTCGTCCTCAGGGGTTGACAAGGCATTTGCATAACCGAAGGCAGGTATAGATGTCTATGGCTCACAGCTCTCTACTTACCATCAGGTCGAACGTGTGTCATATTTATTCAATTAAAAAAAATCACTTACACGTGCGTGTCGGCCACGATGACGGTGTGCACGTGCGCGGCGAAGGCCCAGGCCAGTTCAGCTGCAACCACGCAAAGCTGAACAGCACCAGACTCCAACAGCTGCTGGACCAACCGCCGGTCACCAGCTTCCACACCTTCGTGCAGGTACGCCACGCCAGCAGCCAAGGTCTCCTTTAGCATCTGTAGACCAAAAAAAATGTTTAGGACCTCTGATGTGTACATACATACCACACACAGTAGCGTTAAGCTGTTATATCTAGCTGGTATTCTGTGAGAGCGTGGTCCTTACCCGGTCGAGCCGACTCATTCGTGCTACAGGTATACCAGTAATATAGCTGCAGCATGGCTCTACCACGTATAAAAGCTGTAAACATGTCTTAAAGACTCCACTGGATGAAATGAAGTGATAGGGTGCCTAACGTCGCCAACAAACGTCATATAAAAGTATATTAAATAAATATTATCTGAAAATCAAATGTTTAGAACCTCTGGACTCTATTTGGGGTCGTTCCTTTGGCATCAACGGGGTTAGTTAAGATGACTTTGTATTGTTAATGCTATAAATAGCAATAAAGATAATTGGGTAAGTTGGCGTTGGTTCATACATTTTATTAACTTTTCATAGCGTGAACGATTGTAGAATGTAATCTTGGCTCGGAAAAGTTTTCGTCTCAATTATGAGTCTAGTTTAAGGCGGCTCTTCACGTTGGTCAACATAGTGGCGAATGTGTTGGCCAGTACCGATGGTCATCGTGTAGAACGGGTGTTTGTGCTTCACCTATACATATATTGGAAAGATGGTCTACAAGTAGGCGCGAGATCAGTGTGGTGTCGGTTTTTTTTACAAAAGATCAAAGGGTTGTGGCAGAGTATAGGCCGTTGCATCCACACGTTGGGCGCACGTTTAGTTTTCTACGAGCTCCCGGAGTGATCGCACGCACCTGATAAAATTTTATATTTACGCATCGTAACTAGTGTCTATAAAATGGCAGTAACAATGACCAATGAAGGAACTTTTCGCTTTATAGAGTTTTAGCAAGTCGAAAATTGTTTATGGAATACAAGAAATAAAATTTCTTTTTGATCACCTTTTTCTGATACACATTTACGTAATAGCGGTATGCTGTGAACAAATAAACCGCGGCAGCTGTTAGTGCCTCAATATCAATTTTACTAAATTCATCCGCACATTAACTTGGGCCGAAGCAAACTGAACAATCTTCAAATGTGTGGACGCCATTACAAACTCTTGGCTAATATTTTTGCCAACACATTCGCTACTATGTTGGCCAACGTGAAGAGCCGTTTTTAGACAACTTGTTTTTTTACTTATTGTATAATGAGTCCCTGTTTGACAACAATACCACTTGGTGGTAAGTTGTGATAAAGTACTAGATGGCATAAATCACATTGTTTCAGCAAAACAAAGCCTGTTCATACTCTTGCATTGAAGGTTGCCTACATTATAATTGAAACTCAAATAGAAAGACCGATGCCGGCAAGTTATTCCACATTGCCGTGCCACTATGGTAGTGAGTTTAAAGTGGTATTCACGTGAAGAGGCACCGACCCACCTTGTCCTTGACCCTGTCGAGGAAGGGCTTGATCAGGTCGTGGCGGGCGCGCAGGAACCTGGCGGGGCGGCCGGCGGCGGCGGCCAGCGCCAGCAGGTCGGCGGCCAGCAGGCGCGCGTGGCGCCGCGACGGCACGAACACGGCGCACGGCCTGCTGCCGGCGAACCGCGATATCGCGTTGTAGATCGGCTTCGTCATGGCCGCCAGCCGGGACCCCGCGTGCGAGATGTTGAAGCCCTGCCATCAAACAACGCTTCGTTATTGAAATTTGCCTGTGTATATATATATTGTTAACAAAAAGTGAAAAAACTATGTACGTTTACGTAAACAAATTAACGACTTATCCATCACACTTTGTAATTTTATAAATCATCAATTAATACATCCTCCAGCCTATTAATCCACTTCTGAATATATGCTTCCCTCATAGATTGCATCGTTTCAGCCAGTTTCTGCTCTCTCTAAGTTAACGTAAACGCATTAATGAATCATCCGACCATATTACATCCATTACAACCTTAAAGTCCACTGCTATACTTAAGCCTTCTCAATATAGATTTCATCATAGACGGAATTCCGCCACAATGACCACGCATGGTAGGCGAGGTAGTAGCCAATTATTTATTATGTTTAGTTGTTATCAAAAAAGTGCTTTAGTTTCTCTCTGTCAACTCTTACAACGCCCACGAAACAGTATGGAAGTAGCAGTATATTTTTACACCGCCACTACACAGTTGGTATAAATGAATGAATATAGTGCCAAAGTTATAGGCATAGTACAATTAACTTACAATAGGTATCGCGCATACCGTACCTAAAAATTTATTTGATAGATATATCATTTAATTTCAATAAATGTATTATCATTCCTAATTAAGTGATATAATTTTTCCAAATTTAAAACGATATTTCCAATAATATTTGTTATGCGGCAGTAAGTAATGCGTAAGTAAGTAATGCGGCAGTACCAGCTAGTATTATATAAAATAAAATAAAATGTAGGTAGTCTTCTAAATCTTACAACAATTTATAAATTAATAACAAACAACCGAGTAAATACGGATCTTGTGTAAGAAATGCTACTGACTATATAGATGTGGCATCAATCACAGGGTGCGAATAACGCTTCGTAACTTCATTTATTAATGTGAATTTAATAAATATGCTTAAGGCAATTTTTCGAAATAAGGCATACTTACTACCCGTTAGATACTCGTTGATTTATTATACAAGTCAACTTCAAATTCAAAGTTCTTTTTTCCGTAGTTCATTCAGGATGGACGTATTACTAAATAGTTTGCGTTTCGTAAAATTATTTATCATCTCATTGATGTCATGAGGAGTCAGCGGCGGTACAGTTTTATTTTTATAGTATAAAGGTAACAAATGAGCACACAATCCACCTGATGGTAAGTGGTTGCTGTGACCCATAGACATCCACATTTATCCTCGTTTGTGAATCAATATGCAGATGCATTGTTATAAGGGTGTAAAAACCGGTTCCGGTTCTCTACACTTACCATACCAAACACAGCAGCATTAAGCTGGTATTCTGTGCGAGTGTGATCCTTCCCCGGTCGAGCCGACCCATTCGTGCTACAACTATACTATTAACATAGCTGTAGCATGGCTTTGCCACGTTCCCGCCAAAACTCCAAACACGTTATCCTTATAAGTACTTTAAATGTAAGCGAAAATGTATATTTGTGTGTGTGTGTGTATGTGATCGTTGTGCGGACCTGTATGTGGAGTTCGAGAGGCAGCGGGCGCACGCTGGGGTGGAAGTTGAAGGAGGCGTTGGAGTTGCAGCCCAGCCACTGCGACACGTCGCGGGCGTCGGCCAGCGGCAGCGACAGCGCCACGATGCGGATGGGACGCCCTGCACACAATATTTTAATGGCTCTGTATACGGAGTGGCCATAAATTTATCATCATCATCATCATCATTACAGCCCCACAAGTCCACTGCTGAACATAGGCCTCCCCCAAAGAATGCCACAAAACACGGTCCTGAGCCACCTGCATCCATCGACTTCCTGCATGTCTTACCAGGTCGTCACTCCATCTCGTGGGGGGACGCCCTACACTTCGCCTACCGGTACGAGGCTGCCACTCGAGAACCTTTTTTCCCCATCGGTTGTCTGTTCTTCGAGCTATATGGCCGGCCCACTGCCACTTCAGCTTACTAATCCGTTGGGCTATGTCGGTCACTCTGGTTCTACTGCGGATATCCTCATTCCTAAGTTTATCACGCATAAATTTATCACTTTGATTGAAAAGACTTATCCTACATAACGTTCTTTGAAATAAAAAAAATATATAACAATTATCATTCGTGGTTTGGGGGAACCATTTTTTTTTCGTTTTTTGCCTAATTACTTATGAACGAGAAAGTGTAGGTAAATAATTACCTATGTCGATGCCGCGTGAGCACTGCGCACCTGCCGCACCGTTGCCGTGTTTACATGTCACCTCTGGTCAGTAAACTAATATTGTCAAGGTGATTTATTTCGTGTCAATTTTTAAGCTATTTATTTTGTTTGAAATATGCATTTTTTTATTTTTGGTAGAATTGTTTATTTTATTATTTTAACAGACATAATATATAAACTTGTATTTACCGTAGTGTTATTTAATGTGGTGACCTAATCGCCACCCAGTATACTCTGTGACCACTGTAAAGTTGCGTATCGATTATGCGCTTTAAGAGATCGAACATTGGCGCGCGTTCCAGACGCGCAAAATGTATACCGCCATGGAACGCGCGCCAAATTGTTCGTTGGAGCGCTGAAACGTGGAGCGGACCGCTCCATCTGGTGTCGGTTCTTTACAACGTATCAAAGTAATTAAGTTATGGCGCACGCGCCGGTTGGGACGCCTGTTATCATCATTCGTGTTGAGTTGCCGTAAATTGTTAAAATTATATGGCTCCAAATAACTGTTGTGAACACCAAAAGTAGTTTTTATCATAATAAAGCGCTCAGAGAAAATGCATGAAAGTATGAAAGCGGCAGCTGTTCGTACACGACCGACATCCATGTTGAACGGTCAAACACTGGAACGGCTGCCGTTTAGTTGATACACTTGGACCATTTGGAGTGCGTTCTGCGAAACGCACTGGTCAGCGCGGTCATTCATGGCGCGCGCGCCAGGAGCGCGTAATCAATACGCGACTTAATAGAAGCCATACACGGTCCAGTTTACCATCAAGTTTGCCGTCAAGTTTGCATGATGCCGCACCAGTTGAAACCATGGCGTCTTGACTAACGTTATGCATACTTCACCGCTCATACACACGTGCAAGCTTACAAGACGCTGTAAGCTTGATCAAGTCGGCAGATTTGAAATTCAATTTTTTCTTCAAGTAGACTTGTCATGCACACTGATATACATACACCGTCAAGTTTACCGGACGCCGCTTGAAACGCGCTGCAAACGTGACGGTAAACTGGATCGTGTATGGCATCCATAAGGTGTGACGGATATTCAGTATACCGTGAAACCGTTCCTTTTTAGTTTGCTATAATGTTTATTGTTTAAAACGGAACGTAGTCCAGTATACTGTCATCCCTATTTTCGACATTGTTTTGAAATTAAAATATTTATCATGTAACGTTTTCTGTTCAACAAGAAAATATATTATTTGAATGTTGTTGCTTTTAATACTAAATGTCCGAATTTATTTGAATAACAATATTAATTATTAACAATAATAACAACAGTTCGTGGAAGCTGTTAAATCTCTAGGCGCTGTTATGTTTTTTGATCACTTGATCAAAGTACTGAGAGCACCTTACCACGAAAGCGCCAGTCCTCACAGTACAAATATAGCGGCAATTTATGACGTCACATATATTTTCCTAGGACACTGCGGCAGTATATTGGCAGTCCATAACGGAACGAATTTTTCACCAGTGAGAGCGCTGAGCAGTGCTCGCAGTGTATATCGGAATTCGGAACACGACCAATAAGTTAGCCTTACCATTACAGTCAACGAACATCCATACTTTTACGTGCGGGGTAGGTAAAAATATAGATTAGGATGAAAATGGATGTATTTTAACCCACTCCAAAAAAAAGGGGAAAGTACTAAATTAAACTGTATGTTTTTTATGTTATTCCTTAAAACTTTTTGTATGTGAATCGATTTCGATGATTCTTTTTCATTTGAAAGCTGGCGCTTCTCATGTAGTCCCATATAAATTTGATCAAGATCTGACAAGTAGTTTTTGAGGTTATCCTTAATAATGCGTATTTAATTGACTCCAACTACATTGATGATCTATTGATTTTATTCCCGCAGTAGAGTTCAGTTTCTCGTTCCCGAAACTAACTCTCCGCTCCACGGCACACGCTTTTATACTCGATAAAGTAAAATGTACAACTTTCTAGGCCAATCCAGATCATTCCACTCTTTCGACCGGAAAGTACTAAAACACTCGCCATAACATGGCAATAACAATATCCAAAGGAGAAAAGCCTTTATAAACATAGATGTAAGGTTGCTTTTTACTTGCATTAATAGTCTCAGCGTTATCTATTTTTTTTACCCTTATCGTCAGGAACATTCTCGTGTAATGTGACGTAATACACAACTGGCTGTTGTAACAATATCATAAGCATGCCCCATACATTGCCAAGTCTGCACTCCTTCGTTGTCAACATACCACGCATTCGAACCAAACGGTATACTTCATCTCAGTGCGTACAGCAAAAGAGTGAAATAATTTGCCAGCATCTGTGGGTTTCCATCCTATTACAATGTCGTCGTCAACACAACGTCACAATCAGGTGGGATATACGCACGCACACGCACGCACACACACACGCACACAAACACGCACACACACACGCACACGTACACAAAATGCTCACGTACACGTACACGCAAAAAGAATGAATGATGGAAAATAACAAAGGAAATTTATGCTGCAGAAGGGAGTAGTTGAAGATAATGTTCACCTTAAATGGAAGTTTATCGACCAAATTGGCGATATATTGAAGACGGCCTAAATTAAAGTGCATATTTGCGTAGATATATGGATAGGTGTCAATCGTACCAAATGTAAGTCCGTAGTTTTTGTCCACCCCTCTAATGACAGTCGTGAGAGTGTATATGTATTATGTCATATCAGTAGATGTACACTCACCAATTTGCGAAGAGATGTATCTCATCCTAGAACAGACCACTTCGAGTACCGGTCCCTCTTCACCGCCCAGCAGTTGCAGGGCGTCCACAATCAGGAGCGATATGTTTTGTACGCCCTTACGCACTTTCCACCTGACACATTAAACAATTAAATAAACATTAGCACTGTTCACAAGAGCCGTGGCAGTTCAGATGGTTATCTCTCGCTGTAAGTTTCACAGTACGCAAGGAATCCGGGTTCGATTCCCGCTGGCACCAATAAAATTGTTAATTGCAATTTCAAGTGCTGATTTACCATGAACTCGGCGGTGAAGGAAAACATCGTAAGGAAACCTGCATGTCTAAGAAATAGGAAAAAAACATTTCAAAGACGTGTGAACTTCGCCAACACGCATTGGGGCAGCGCGGCGGACATTTCCTTGCCCTAAAACCCTCTCAGAAATGAGAGGAGGCTTGTGCCCAGCAGTGGGACGCGAATAGGCTGCCGTGGGGGGGGGGGGTATATAGTGTTTAACAGCCTATACATGTATATATGTATGTATGTTTGTTCCTTTAGAGACGTAGTGTTAGTTAGTTTAGTTAGTTAGTAGTTAGTTTTCATAACTTATAATAAAGCTGTGATAAAGTTCTAATATAATCGTATAATGGGTCCTATTAGTAAAGTAGTTTTTTTTTAAATATTAACCCTGCTTGCATTTACGTACAAAATTCAATAAAAATGCTACCACCCATAGAATATAATTTTTTGTGTGATTTTGATTCTGAAACAGTCATCTCTAACATTGTAAAAGGTCGGGGGAACAGTTTCTTCGTGTTTTATATACAAATTCAAGGCATTTTTTTTTCAAAGTTTAATTTTACATTTAATTTTAATATATATGTGACATTTTGTTCGATAACTTGTTGCTACCTTGTAATAAATTATCTAGGAATATTGTGATTTTTGATCAAAAATACAAGTAGTTTTTACAGTCCTCTGTTGAATAGAATAGTATAGAACATTTTTTATTCAATATACATTACATGTGTAATTCTTATTGAAAGTCATTTTTTACTTTACCACTGGTTCGAAAAAAAAACCTTGCCAATATACCTTGTAATAAATTATCTAGGAATATTGTGATTTTTGATCAAAAATACAAATAGTTTTTACAGTCCTCTGTTGAATAGAATAGAATAGAATATTTTTTATTCAATATACATTACATGTGTAATTCTTATTGAAAGTCATTTTTTACTTTACCACTGGTTCGAAAAAAAACCTCTGTCCTGGGAAGAACCAGCGAGAAACCCAGCGGGACTTTTTTTTTAAAATAAATTTTACTATATAAATGATTACGAACTATTTACAAAATTTATTTTAGAAACTGCTTGGAAGCGATCACCTCATTCCCAGGGGTTATTATCAACCATGTATTCATTTATATTATAATAACCCTTTTTATACAGTTTCAGCTTACTAAAACATTTAAACTTGGTAATAGAGAGTTCCTGTACATTTTCCGGGACCTTGTTGTAATAGCGTATACATTGCCCCAAGAATGAATTACTGACTCTGTGGAGTCGAGAAACTGGCATCACTAGCTTCACTAGCGTTGATGTTAACCAAACACTATCCAAAGAATTCTGAATAGACTGAAACAGGTGAAAATCTGAGGATGAAAGATCAGGAATATGTGGTGGATGCATTATTACTTCCCAACCAAGATCTCTCAGTTTTTGCTGAATGGCCATAGGTGTATGGGGTCTGGCGTTACCAAAAGCGAAAGGCGAAAGGCCACTGCTTTTCTGTTGATATATTCCTACCGTTTTTTCTCATTTTATTTCTTGAGTCTCATTAATTGTAGACAGCACAGATCTGAATCGATGTTTGTTACTCAATTGCTTAAAAAATCCTCGTCACCACTAATCCCAGCACCACTACACTAGCAAAGACACACCACCGTCGACAATACGACAGGTGTTTCGCCTCTACACGAGGCTTCCTCAGGTGAAGTAGACTCAGCGGTGGTTAACCGCTAATTGGTCTTCATTTTTTTTTATCACGCATATCTTAAATAATAATTGATATTTTCGCATCTTTGATATAATAGATTTCTGCAAAGTAACGTCTAATTTTATTAATTAATTTATAAATTATCGTATAAGCTTACCGTCTGGACAGCACGTCCCATTTCTCAGCGGTGGTTATAATAATCTGGCCCTTGTTCAGCAACTTGTGGTCCGTCGCCGTTTCACCGGTCAGCTGCACCACCTGGCGATTTTAAAAAATAATTGTTTTTTTTTATAAAATATAAGCTAGTACGTGATTACGATACCTGGTAAGTAATGGTGGTCGATTTCTTTGATGGTGCCACTTTCCGTGATGTTAGTGTAACTTATTGATCTCTCAAATGTGAGAAGCGGTAATCGTCTATCAACTACATATATGTATAAGGAAATATATATTTCCTTATAAATATATGTAGTTGATCGAACTCATTTTACCTAGAATCTGGTGGTTTAGCCTGCTTAGGGGTTGATAGGGGTGGTTTCTACCCCAAAAAGTGAATTTCCGCAGTGCTACAAGAAAGCAGATATAATTATGAGTAGTCAAAAAAAATGGTTTCATTTGGATTAGATTTACTGCCTCGCGCGTAGTTTTGATAGTTTCCGCCCACTGTGCGGAGGCTAGCCATCTGCACGAGTGTATGCGCAAGCACACGTGCATTCTCTATTCATTTACTCTCATAGTTCGATTGGACAGCAGTGCTAACGGCATGCAGAGCTTTCCGAGAATGGAACACCGCCAACTTGCTAACTTCGGACTGTTACTGAGAATTTCTTGACAGAAAAAACCAAATAACTGATATTGACTTGACCCGATCCGACGTCACACCCGATAAGATATTACATTTACGAGCAACTACGCAGAAGTTGTACCAGTGAGCGTGTGCATACGCGTGGCGAGACCGACCTTGAGGTTGAAGTTGGTGTCGAACTTGTGGTACCAGTGTGTACGTGTGCGTGTGCATACGCGTGGCGAGACCGACCTTGAGGTTGAAGTTGGTGTCGAACTTGTGGTACCAGTGTGTACGTGTGCGTGTGCATACGCGTGGCCAGACCGACCTTGAGGTTGAAGTTGGTGTCGAACTTGTGGTACCAGTGTGTACGTGTGCGTGTGCATACGCGTGGCGAGACCGACCTTGAGGTTGAAGTTGGTGTCGAACTTGTGGTACCAGTGTGTACGTGTGCGTGTGCATACGCGTGGCGAGACCGAACTTGAGGTTGAAGTTGGTGTCGAACTTGTGGTACCAGTGTGTATGTGCGTGCGCGTGGCGAGATCGACCTTGAGGTTAAATTTGGCGCCAAACTTGTGGTACCAGTGTGTGCGTGTGCGTGCGCGTGGCGAGACCGACCTTGAGGTTGAAGTTGGTGTCGAACTTGTGGTACCAGTGTGTACGTGTGCGTGTGCATACGCGTGGCGAGACCGAACTTGAGGTTGAAGTTGGTGTCGAACTTGTGGTACCAGTGTGTATGTGCGTGCGCGTGGCGAGATCGACCTTGAGGTTAAATTTGGCGCCAAACTTGTGGTACCAGTGTGTGCGTGTGCGTGCGCGTGGCGAGACCGACCTTGAGATTGAAGTTGGTGCCGAACTTGTGGTACCAGTCGGCGAACACGATGTCCGCCAAGGCGTCTCGCGGCAGCAGGTACACGGTTCGAGCATTCGCGTCGTTATGCAACGCGCGCAGAAGGGCCAATTCGGCGATGACAGACTTGCCGGAGCCGGACGGCGCGCCCACGAACACGCTTTCGTCAGAGTTGTACACCGCGTTGAACACCTGCATATACATAGCCACTACTTAACAAACATCTTTTTTTATACAATATGTGTAACAATCGCGTACACAGTCCAACTCATGATAAGTGGATACTGCGGCCCATAGACATCACCCCTGAGAACAAACAGTAAAAAGCGTCTCCGGTTCTCTACACTCACCATACGAAACACAGCAGCATTAAGCTGCTATTTTACGCTGGTATTCTGTGAGAGCGTGGTCCTTCCCCGGTCGAGCCGACCAATTCGTGCTACAACCGTAATTATAGCTGCAGCGTGGCTGTACTATGTACATAATCAATAACTATTGAGTTTCGCAATCTTTATCGTTAACCATTTGACTATTATCGTTTTGGTCTATCTTTCGCAGACTAACAAAGCCCTATAACGAATACGCATTCCTCTCCCATTATTTGTCATAGAAAGTTTCAATACGAACACAATCTCGTTCCAGTTATACACCGCATTGAACACCTGCGTGCACAAGCCCGCAACTGAACGTAGAGACCTCTGCCAAAAACTTTTATGTATATTACTAAAGAAGCTCAATAACCTCGCAATGTATTACATTGCGCACTAAGTTTCGTTCAATTGTCTGTAACTTTATACTTATATTTAAGTCTATCACACAAAGAAACCCCGAGCATAGCCTTGCCCATAGATACAATACAATAGACCAAGTTACAACCCACAAAAATATAAAGTTATTCAGATTTAATAGATATATGCAATTTTTCTACTGATCAAAGCTCTATTATATCATATTATGTATATAATTTTAAAGAAAATCCTATGTAAATTTTGAGATTACTCGCTAGTCTCCAGAAATCCTCCATACTTATATAAATAAACTGAAAAAATAGACACTAAATCAGTATTTTGGCCAATTTGTGAGTTTGATAATTTTTGCACATGGTCCAATTTTAATTAAATAAAAATTAAAAGTACGAATGTGCATTACAAGTTAACGTGTAGTGGCGGCGTGAAAATATATTGTTTTTATACGACATCGTGACAAAAGAGCACACAGTCCACCTGATAGTAAGTGGTTGCTGTAACCCATAGACATCTACATCTATAACGGGTACGAATCAAAATGCAGATGCGTAGTCACTCATGAGAACTAAGATAGAATACCTCTTTTCCAATAAAAAGGATCTCTGGTTCTCTACACTCACCATACGAAACACAGCAGCATTAAGCTGCTATTTTACGCTGGTATTCTGTGAGAGCGTGGTCGTTCTTGTTCTCTGGTGGAGCCGACCCATTCGTGCTGCAATTATACTACTAATATAGCTGCAGCATGGCTCTACCACGTAAAAATCTACCACCCCATATCGTTCCGAACATCGTGAGAGGCAAGAGAGGAAAACTGAAATTAGAGATGAGGGTTGCATCTTCCTGATCAATCAAATTAGTAAAAAACTGGCGGTTGCTAACCCGCATGACATTCGTGGCAACTATAGCAAGATCGTGCCTATTAGGCAACCTATGGGGGAGGCCTATGTTCAGCAGTGGACTTTTACAGTTTGTAATGGATAACGGATGGATCGTCGATCCGTCTGTCAAGGCTTAAGGCAAATTCCCCTACAGCGGGTCGAGTCCCGTGGACAGCATTGACCTAAGACAGTAGTGCTCATTTGACCCACCTGTGTCTGCACGGGATTAAACTGCGGGAAGGTCTCGTTGTACAGTGCCTCGTACTTCGGGTTCCGCAGAGCCGACACGGGCAACGGTTGGAGATCTAGCAGCTCAGTCGGCGGCAGGTTCTTCTCCGGCAGAATGAGATGACGGAACGACACCGGCAGCTGGGTTTCCGCTGCTATCCACCTGGAATCGACGTCTTATGTTACTCTAGGACAAGGACACAAATCAACATCCCTACATAGTGTGTAATTAAAAATTTTGTATTGCCGACTTCAATGTAAGTTATTAAGAATAACTCAAAAACTATTGGTCTGACCTTGATCAAATTCATATGGGACCACACGAGAAGTACCAGCTTTCAAATAAAAAAAGAATCATCCAAAGAGTGTCGTCAAAACTTACTTACTTACTTACGTTAACCTTACTTTTATCTAAAAGAAAAAACACTTAAGGCCTTCGATTATTCTTGTAATGAACAAGAGACCCTTTTAACTGGCAATGAAGATTTTAGATCTTAGGCCAGTTCATCATCAGCTCACCTATCGGAGACGACCCTGAGGAAGTACTGCGGCGGCAGCGGCTCGAAGACCGGCACGAACAGCTTGACGTGGTGCTCGTCGCGGCAGTACTTCTGCTTCAACAGGAAGTATTCGTGGTGGAGAACCACCTCGGCGTCCACGTCTTCCACCAGCACCCAGAACGCCTCCGACTGTCCGTGGATCTGTCAAATAGTTTAAAATAGAATAGTTCTTAATCGATATGAATTAAAAATAATGTGTATTGAAAGAAAAATTGTTAAAGGATGCACAGGAGTACTACATAGCATAAAACGAAGTCGTTTCCCGCCGTCTGTACTATTCTTTTAATAATATGTATAATACATGCATATTATATATTATATAATATATAATTCTTCTGTCTTTGTGTATGTGACTGAACTCCTACTAAACGGGTGGACCGATTTTGATGAAATCTTGTGTGTGTTTAAGTTGATGCGAGAACCGTTTAGATTTACAACTGGACCCGATAGGTGGCGCTGTTGACGAGATCCAGAAATCACACGTGCGAAGCCGGGGTGGATCGCTAGTTCTATATAAAAAAATACCTCCCCTTACCACCATTGAATTTGTTCTGGGTAATACCAACACTAAGGTGATGATAAACTGATGACGCTTGATAAGTACGAGTAAAAATATATTGTGGGTAAGTTTACAAAATAAAAGGCTAGAATTACTGATAATGACTACGCGTCGCGCTCTTAATGGTTATTCGCGAACCGATTTTAAAATACATTTACTGCAGAAAAATCCAAAAGAGGTCAAGTTGTGAAATTATGTCTTGACAATTGTACGTTGCATTGCATTTTTTTATAAAATAAGTATGACAAACGAGCACACAATCCACCTGATGGTAAGTGGATGCTGTGGCCCATAGACATCTACAAATATCCTCGATTAAGACTCAAAATGCACATGCGTTTTACCTTTCGGGCAAACATGGAATGCCCTTTTACCAGTTTCTTGAAATTAAAACCAAAATATAGAATTGAAATTTAAAATCTTTTCCACAGTTTTTCTTTTATACACTGATAGTAGTAAGTTGGTTACCTTCTCATCCCACTGGAAGTCAGGCGTGATGGTCAGCTCGACCCTCAGCGTGGACCTGGTGATAGGCTGGATATGGGTCGCGAGCTCCAGCCGTGGGAACTGGTGCACGTACTTGTGGATCATTTTGCCCAGCTTCGGCGCGCGCACCAGTTCGCCGATCTCGTTAGGGCCCAGATCGTAAAGCTTCTCCCACGGGAAGTTCTTCTTCTCTAATTTCTTAATAACCTAGGGTAAACATTTTTGTTATAATAAAATAAAAAGCGACAATAGTTTAATGGAAGGGCGCCGACCGCGAGCTTAAAGGGTTGTTGGTTCGAATCCGCCTTTTGATTACTGTCGTGAACGACTCCTAAACACAAGTATTTTAAGCTTACCAGGAGCGGTTAAAGGGAATATAAGAGCCTGCTCTTGTTTACAAGGCCGGGAACGCATCTGCGATTCCCCTGGTTCCCCTGGTGTTGCGGTTGTTCATGGGCGGCCGTAATCACTTACCATCAGGTGAGCCGCATGCTCGTTTGCCCCTCTCTTATAGAAAAAGTAATGTCATTAGCATTGCTAGTATTTAAAAAAAAATAGGACACATTTACAATAAAATGACATTATATGTGGTAGGGCTATGCTGAAGCTATATCATGGTTGTAGCATGAATTGGTCGGTCTAGGAAGGAACACGCTCTCAGAATACCAAAAATAGCAGCATAACACTGCTGTGTTTCGTATGGTGAGTGTAGAGAACCGGAGACCCTTTTTACTGGCAAAGAGGCATTCCATCTTAGTCCTAAAGGCTAAACAGATTTTCTTGAAACATTCCTAAGAACACTCTCCATTAAGGTACCTTTCAAACGAAAATACTTAATCCAATTCGGTTTATCCGCTCAGGAGCTATGGTGTCACAGACAGAGATAAACATATAACACCTCTCTATTATCGTTGGGGGCTAAAAGCATATCATTTAAAAAAACCACACTAGGATTTTCTCCTGTATCATAGAGGCAGTTTACATACAAAAATTGCATGAAGACACACATCCAGACCCCAGAACAATTACAGTTAAAAGTTTATCAGTTTCTAGGCTATTATATAAATACACAAAACAATTCCTCGGTGGTTTGCTCTTGAATTTTTTACAAATTTTCAACGTTTTTTTCACTTTTTCTACTTTTATGAATATCAGTGGTTTACTTTATTTATTTTTAATCTAATTATTATAAAATATCACTAATAGTACAGAAATAGACATTAACCTTTAATTTTTTTTGAAGAAATTAACTTCCCCGCTATGAAATCTGTCAAATATTACACCTCATTTTTACGTGGCGCCGCCCTGGTGGCAGAAAAATACATGGATACCCTAATTGCTAACCCTCTGCGACATGTCAACGTCGAATATATAATCAGCGATGATAATTGTAAACCCTCCTTATTGTAATGCCACTGTCTAACTGTTTATCGGACGAATAAGTGATGATTTTTTCACAAGTAAGTTTTAATTACCTCTTCCGGCATCTTCCGAAATTGTCTGAGCGGTGACATTGACTGCCACATACGTCGGTCCACCATCTTGCACAGTGCTAACGTTTTGTCCACTAACTGGGCCCAGCCTGTAATCAATTGCGTTTTTAATGTAAGAACGACAAAATAGAAAGAGAACGAAACATATACGTTCCACTGTTGGCTAGGGAGCTTCTTAAGGCAATACCCCGACCAAAACCTTGCGATAGTACGTTTTTCTTCGTTATTCAGAGACTATTATCTCATCAGTTATGAGAAATAAACTACATCTAAAAGCACATTATTAATGTTCGATATCCTATCATAACATTCCACATTCTAATTTGTTTTTATGTGTTATAAATACATTTAAAATGTACTTTTATAAAATGACTAAAATTATTGATTAAATGCATCTGTTACTAAAGGCAAGGCTCTAATCATTTGAGGATTACACTAATGGATAGATAATTTAAATATCTATATTCTTCACGCTTTATTTAATTTTTAAAGTTCGCTTTTCGTTTTTAATTAAAATTAATTCAAAAAATTGTGTGAATTCTATGATAAATGGGCGTACGCAGAGTGGCAGTGCACTGCATGCTCAAGGTTATTTGGTCAGAGAAACGCCTTAAGAGGTTTTGTGAAGCTGTGAGTTTTCATACAAAAAGCGTTAACGTTTTTCAAATTATCTGACGTAGTAATTTATTAATGATAGAATTCACTACGGCGCCGTGGGTGTCGTAAGAGGCGACAGTGCCAAAATGAAACAAGAGATGGGCAGCAGCATCTTCTGATAAGCGTGGCAACTATGTACAAAAATCCCCCTATGAGGGAATCCCCAATCTATGGGGGCGGCCTTTGTTCAGCAGTAGACTTTTATTGGCTGTAATGGATAGTGAAGATTCTACTACTCAAATCGCACAGAAAACAGTAATACTATCCCCGCCTCGTTCCTGATTCAGGGAACGAAGTTCCTTATCGGACGGTACGAATTTGGCGGATGGGGGCTGGGCGGGAAAAAGTGTAAGATTTTTCCGTCTCGACCCGTTCTGACGTAAAATGTAATATTATGAGGAAGCGAGATGAATGATATCCATCTCCCTCGCACTTTTCTTATTTTGCCATGAAAGAAATACTATTTAATTTTAAATGACGCTTCATTTTAATATGTAGGCGCTAGTAATTCATTTATTTGTATTTGTTAATCAATAATATAATACGTTTATCAATAATAATATACTACGAAAGGAACTTCGTTCCTACTGAGTGTTCCACGAAACTCACGCATGTTTTTTATTTACTTTACTCTCAAAGCATATAAGAACTTACCTCTGTGCAGAACAATCTCAAAGATGGCCCTCAGGAGTCTGCTAGCGGACTGGGTGACATACACCATGTCCGCCATCAGAGCGAACCCTTCCAGCTTCAACTGGGATATGTACGCTTGGAGCAGCACATTGATCTTCGCTGATGGCTCTTCTATGCTCTCTTTTATTGGTATCGGCACCTGTAAGAGAATGACGTGCTCAATTTCGAGTGGTATGATCTAATGCTCTGTATATGTCGCAGCCAACTAGCTAATTAGCCTTTCCGTTAACAGTCTAGTCTTTCCTACAGACTTCAAAAAGGAGACGGTACTCAATTCGACTGTATGTTTTTTTTAAATGTGTGTTACCTCATAACTTTTTACTGGGTTAACCGATTTCGATGATTCTTTTTTTATTTGAAAGCTTAGTTATTCTTACTAATTTATATTAAAGTTGGTTGTACAAAATTTTTTATTTGAAATTATTACTAAACGGCGCCGGTCAACTAGCGGCCTGAATGATATTCAGCCGATGCGTCAAATCAACATTGCACATATCTTGTAATATCAGCGACAGTAGGTTATGGTGCGGCTGTGGTGACCCTCGGGCATTATATAGCACTTTACATAATATATAATAAGGACTTTACATAATAAGGACTAATAATCTTTCGCTAGCCAGATGTCGCTAATTGACACTGAGTTGAAGTTTTTTGTTACACAATGTCATTTAATTGAAAAGTTAGTTTTAAATAAAAGTTTATCAGTTTCTAGAGTATTATATTAATACACGAAACAATGACTCGGGTTTGCTTATTAATTTTATGCAAATTTTTAACTATTTTTTTAAAAATCAATTTTTATGATATAACCGTGGTTTGGTTTCTTTAGTTTTAATCTAATTGATGTAAAAATATAATTAAAAGTACAGAAAGTAACATTAACCTTTTTAAAACAAAATAACTTCCCCGCTATGAAATCTGTCAAATATTACACCTCCAGCAGTTCAGTAGACCAGCGACCGTCACGTTGAGTGAAATTAATAGGGTGACCATGCCATGTAATGTCTAGGCTGTTAAACGAAAGACAAATTAAGCTAGTTGGCTGCGACATACATATCGTGTCCAGATTGAAGAATTGATCAAATTATCATGAACTATATCATAATGAAACACAACCATTTCATAATGTAGTCAATTGGATATTTGACTCTGGTCAATTGAAATATTTTTAAACAGCTGTCAAAACTAACATCTGTAAAGAAATTTTGATTGTTAAATTGTCACGGGTAACATAACATGGTCACGGTGAACGCCTCTCAACACAAGCATTTTCAAAGGTTAACGAGAAGCGAATAGCGCTAGAAACTAAATAAGAATTGGCTAGCAGCGAGAAGCGACTGTGTATTAGTTTTGTCGTTGGGCTATAAGGGAGTGTACTCAGATCCGCACTGCAGAGCAAAATGTCCCCTGGTTGGTCTCTCGGCTTGAGTTCTGACCGTCAAGCGAGCATCGCTCAGCTCAGTTTCAGCTTTGAATAACTCTTGGAAAAACTAGTGGAGAGAGAGTTCTTGCAGAAAGTGTGAACATCCAGCGGTCAACTACTAATGTAGTATCTCTTTTATTGATACTGGATCTACATCTACTGATCGTTTCTCAAACGAGAAAATAGTCGATTGCTAATCGCTTCCACGTCGGCAATGGGACAAGTGCCTGACTGGAATATTACTTATGTTTTAGTGTTACTAGTATTGTTTTTAATTAAAAAAAATACCACAAAGATAATCCCATATATATTTTTATTGTTTTTTTATAGAATAAGGGTGACAAACGAGCACACAGTCCACCTGATGGTAAGTGGTTGCTGTGGCCCATAGATATCTACATCTATCTTCGATTGCGAATTCAAATGCAGATGCGTTGTCAACCGTGAGGACTAAGATGGGATGCCTCTTTTCCAGTAAAAATGATCTCTGGTTCTCTACACTCACCATACGAAACATAGCAGCATTAAGCTGCTATTTTACGCTGGTATTCTGTGAGAGCATGGTCCTTCCCCGGTCGAGCCGACCCATTCGTGCTACAACTATACCACTAATATAGCTGCAGCATGGCTCTACCACGTAAAAATGAGGGACTTTTAATAAAAAAGAAGAATGTGCAAACCGTGTTAATTGAATCGTGGATATTGGGTGAATTTGTGTAGGCGATGGCCTTGCCAACTTTCACTTTATTCACAATCTAAACTTTTTTTTTAACTTCATCTTAACATGGTCAGACTGAGCCAACTTCTTTCACTCTGTGTCGTTACAACCGATGCAATGTGTATGGTAGATGCTATTTTTCAGCTAAGGGTTGATAATGATGACAGTGATCTATACAAAGGGGAGGTCTCACCCGTTCCATCAGCTTGTGCAGTTCCAGCTTCTCCTCATCCCTCACGGCGATGTGCTTGAACTCCGCCGACAACGAGAACACCCGGAAGAGCTCTATCTCGCCCAGGGTTGGCTTCAACAGTTGGTTGTACGACTGCATGGTCTCGTAGGTGCAGTAGTAGTGGGACGCGATGCGGCCCAGCTCCGTGGGCTGGAAGTGACCGGACTTCCGCTCGTATTTGATCAGACCGGCCCTGGGAAGTTATCACATTAAATAATTATAACACGACCAAGCTTTGCCCGCGGTGTGGGTGTCTCAAAGGCGACTGTGGGAAATTTCAGAATAGTCTGCAGCACAAATGGGTTGACTTGACCGAAAAATGACCAAGCTCACACACCATTACAACTTATAACAAGTCCACTGCTGAACATAAGCCTCGCCTGCCTATTGATTGTCTCATAGGCGGGATATTTGCCATAGTTGTAATGTTACTGTTGATTTCAAAATTTCACCTCTCAGCGGGTCATGTGCTCCTGGTAGATTATCTTCTATTCATGTCTGTCTTTCAACCCGATTACAATGTGAATTAATGAATGAATTTATTTTCTCTTCACAATAGGGTAAACTCACTAACTAATACTTAGCATTAGCTAAGTATTACAAAATTGCCAGACTGGTACCTAACTTGTGAGAGACTGGTGCCTGATGTAGGTATAAAAACCTGTATTACAGGTCACCAAGGAATGTGGAAATGTGGATATCTTCCGTAGTGAATAGGCTTCTGTCAAGTCAGTGCGCTTCACCATCTTCGGCTGCAACACCACTTACCATCAGATGGGATAGTAGTCAAGCAGAAGACTTACAATAGAAAAAAAATTGGAAAATCCAAAGGTGCACGCCTCACATGCTTATTAGATATTTTAAAAATTAAAATTAATAATTTTCTGAAAGAGAAACCTTTTGAAATAAATCCATATTATTTTTTCCTATCGTGGCGCTGTTTTATGCAAAATGATACAAGGGTATGTACAGGATACAGGAAAGAGAAAGAAATACACAGATGTAACAAGAAAGAGATGAATTTCATTAATAACTTTTAAACGGTGTTCAATAAGAAAAATCAATTCCTGAGAATATATGGAATCTTATTTAATATTATATTATACATCTCAATCTATTGCTTACATTTGTATTAAGCTAGAAGACTTACCGAGGCATAGACCAACGGACGGCAGTTCATATATTAGTTCATTTACATTTCTTGTTTTTTAATTTAAAGTGAATCAATTAGAAAATAAACTAATCTTATAATTCAATGTATGTAGTTATTGTAACGTTAATAATAATATGGATTTGATGTCTAACTAAAAGTATAAGAACGATAGTATGTAGCAAAATTGGGGTATGACCATAGATATAGTATACATTAGATCGACGATAGAGTGATTAGGGTGAGACCAAAAATAAAATATACCGGTGTCAGTGATATGTGTATGTGTGTGAGACGAACAGTGCTGCACTATGCATCAACTTCAATTATCGATATGGAGCCCTGTGCCTATGTCATAAAATGAATATTTTTGTTTGAGGGCCATAAAAATAAAACTACAAACAAAAAGTTTGTGATTTTTATTTTCCACCAAAAATAATTAATTTATTGTAAAAATCTCTTTAGAGGTATTTTGAAATTTTGCTTCATACTTCAATCCAATAATGAAATAAGTTTCAATTATTAATTTAATTATTAAGTATATAGTTTGATATTGCTGGCGAATCGTACATATGTATGTCAAGTATGTTAAATTTTTTTTTGCAGGACACAAGGCATTTGTTCGCTATTTTTCGAAACAAATTTTCGTTTACAATTTTTCCTTTCACATGTTTTCTAAAAACTCATTTGGAATGAATACCTATCTCATAAACGTCTAGAGAGAGATAAACAGAAATAAACAGCAGTGCTTACACTGTCGCGATCCGGCTTGTTGTGTATAGAGAGCCTGTATAATAATTATAAACTGTAAGGCATTACATCTTAGCCCTCCGGGGTTGTAACACATTTGTAATTTTTTTTGAAGCCAACTGTAGGTGACCATGTACTGCAGTAGCCGTTTACCATCACGTGATACTGTAAATTACTTTGTTATTATTGTTTTATAAAAAAATATACATCATAAGGATGACGAAACAACTTGCACACATTTAAACATGCTTAAACGAAATAAACATATGTACAGTAAAATATATAATAAGAATATAATATATATATATATATTATAATATAAAATATATAATAATGTTGGTATTGAACCATAACGCAGCTTTACTTTTGTGCACTTCTATGAAAAAAAATCATTTTTGTTCAAAGTGCTTGCTACATATAGTTGAATAGTTTTTGGAAACCCAGTCTTCTCTATTAATCATTTTTAACCTATTTTGTTTAACCTTAATATTTTTTTAAACATTACAAGAGTTTAAATTATCTCATTAAAGTATTTAATATTAGTATTTAATACCCTTTGGCTACGAAACCCTAAAAAAAATGAAGTTACAAGAGGCTGCATCCAAAGATATGCCTTTGCCTGTTAGTAACATATTATCGATAAGATGATATTGAGTGTCAATCTCTACAAGAATTAGATCAGAAATGGCGGGAATTCACGTATTTGGTATTATGTTTACTATAATTCTTACGCATTTAGAGCATTGTCGTAATAAAATGCGATATTTTCCCCTATCCATTTGTGTATAAAACATTTGTACCAGTTGTAAAATATCGCAATTAAAGAGTTAAGAGTAGAGAGTAAATATTTTAATTGTACTTACGTGTGAAATGTATAATTTTGTGAATTTTCTTTTCTCGATCATCTGCATTCAGGTACTTCACTTATCAATACTTCAAAATCAAAGATATCACGAAAATAAGAGGAACATAATAAATACTAACTTGTCCAGTAAGCAGGCAGCGGTATGCACTAAGTCAGCTCGATGCAGCTCGAGTAGTGTGTCATGTTGCAACTTGTCTGGCGATATCCCGTACAGTGCTGGAGCGCGAAGCATACGTACGTACAGGTACGTGTAACCTGTTAAAGAAAGAGAAACAAAAAATTGATCATCTGTTCCATCCATCGACTACAGCCTATAAAGGTCCACTGCTGAACATATGCCTGCCCCATAGATTGCTTCATTTGATTTTGGCACGGTTGTCACTCTTAGCAAGCGGTTTTTTTTTTTTAAATAATTTTGAGTTGTTATAAGAAAGATGCTAACGCCCATCTCCTGGGAAACTCCCTCAGTAGCTTCTTACGACATCCACGAGATGATATTATGGGGTAGTGGAAATTCTTAAACCGTCAATACAAGGGGAAAAATAAATTTCGAATTTGTGATGATATAGAAACGATTCGTATTCACAGCATAATATATTGGTTTGGTGACAAAAAGAAAATCATAAAATGTAGACGCGATGAGTAGGTCACAATACACTATAATTCGAAGTGAAACTTATTTCACCACCTATTAAATGAATATAAAATGTCCTACGAGATATTAGAAGAATTAAAAATTCCTTAATAACAATGTGGTTTATTCACCTTCGATAGAACGGAGAAAAAGTTTGCATTTTTATATAGAATAAAGGTAACAAACGAGCACACAGTCCACCTGACGGTAAGTGGTTGCTGTGGCCCATAGACATTTACATCTATCATCGCTTGCGACTTAAAATGCAGATGCGTTGTCATCCGTGAGGACTATGATAGAATTTCTCATTTCCAGTAAAGAGTCTCCGGTTCTCTACACTCACCATACGAAACACAGCACCATTAAGCTGCTATCTTACGTTGGTATTCTGTGAGAGTAAGTATACACATGTGTTATAATTAAAAAAAAAAAGTCCGCTTGGTATCTTGCTAGTTTTTCCTTAGGCAGCTAGTATCGTGTCTGGCCGAAATTTGAACATTTAAATTGGTTAAAGTATTTTATATGGATACTTTAACTGTGTAAAAGCACACAGTAAATTTCGGATGTTCCTTCTATATTAAAAAAAATCTATTCTATCATATTCGTACCGAGCCAGGTCACAGCGTCCTTCACGTTCTGGACAGATCCCAGTACAATCTCCGCGTTGAGCATATCGGGCAGCTTGCTCACAAGCTGCGACTCGATCGGCAGCTGCTGGTTCAGAAGGGACAGGTAGTACTGCAGCTCCGAGTGGTTCGTGATGAGGATTCCTGTTGACATTTTTAAATATATAATAATAGTTTTCTTTCTCCTCCTGCCCTTACTGTTACCGTTAAAAATAAATAAAATAAAATTTTATTTCTTTAACTTAGGTCTACAAGCGTTATTTTGTGGCCAGAGTCGCCCAGGGAAGCATGTAGTAATGCTTGTGTTGGGTGACTCTGCTCTTCCATTGGACCAAGTAAACAATATTTATTTTTAGTGTTTGTTATAACTAAACTATAGATTTACAATATTTCAAAGGCTAGAATACTAAAAGAATGATAAATTTCAAATATTACATTGTGCCAAAACTGTGATTCCCTATTAATCATTTTTATTTCCATCATCGTTATAACCTATTTAAGAGGATTTTGAAGCTGCAAATTTTCATAAAAAAACCAATAACGTTTTCCCCCGTAAACATACTCTAATTTTCATTATTTTTGAAAATGCTGAACATATAATGAAAAACTAGTTAAGTACGTTTTTATTTTAAAGAAATATTGGGTACGAAGTAAGTAATTACCAATAGTTTTTGCCTTAAAAACTACCTCAAGCGTATATATTTTTTAATTAAACTAAACTGAATTTCTACACGCGTAAAAAGTACAGATCTAGATTAAGGTGCACTGAATCCAATGAGACTAAAATTGTCTCATTTTATAAAGGTTTATGGGGGGTGAAAACGTTATCGCCCGAAACAATATTTCAAAAAGGAAATGTAGGCAATTGCCTCCAAGACTTGGAACTCTCTCTATCGCATGTTATGGCGATACGGAGCGAGCAGTATGAAACTGATAGCATTTTAGTAAAATACCTAATCACACCGCGTATCGGACACTTCACAAACCTCTTAAAGTCCAAATCTAAACATAGGCCTCCCCATTGATTGGCTCATAGGGGGGTTACCATAATTGCCACGTTTGGCATGCGAGTTTACAACCGCAGTGTTATATTATTTTGTATTGTTAAAAGGAACTCCCTCTGTCGCCTTTTACGACCATCACGGGATGATATAGCACATAATTAGGCTTATTTCCTACCGAATTCAAAAAATTGAGGAGGTTTTCGATTCGACTGTATTTTTTTTACCTCAGAACTTTTTTCCAGGGCAACCGATTTTGATGATTCTTTTTTTATTACATAGTTTATACTTCAAGGGTAGCCCCATGTAAATTTATAGAAAAAATTCCACCGTAAGGATAGCAAATATTTTTTTTGTAACAATTTGAAGTCGGTCTTTACTTTTCTACCGACTTCAAAAAGGAGACGGTACTCAATTCGACTGTATGTTTTTTTTTAAGTGTGTTACCTCATAACTTTTTACTGGGTGAACCCATTTCGATTATTCTTTTTTTTTGAGTTATTCTATTCTGACCAATAGTTTTTGAGTTATTCTTAATAATTTATATTGAGGTCGGTTGTACAAAATTTTTAATTTTAAATTATTCTTAAAATTCTAATTGTGACCCTTTTTAGTGGTCCAAGGTGCATCACAGTTCGAATGAAGTTATTACGTAAGAAATTATTACGTGGTAGAGCCATGCTACAGCTGTATAAGTAATATAGTTGTAGCACGAATGGGTCGGCTCGACCGGGGAAGGACCACGCTCTCACAGAATACCAGCGTAAAAAAGCAGTTTAACACTGCTGTGTTTAGTATGGTGAGTGTAGAGAACCGGAGACCCTTTTTACTGGAAAAGAGGCATTCCATCTTAGTCCTCACGGGCGATAACGCATCTGCACATTGAATCTTAATTGAGCATAAATGTAGATGATTATGAGCCACAGCATCCCACTTACCATCAGGTGGACTGTGTTCTTCCTTTTTTTCATTTGTTTGTCAACTTTATACTATAAAAAATGTCATTTAACTTATTTTTGCACCTTTAGCAGTGGAAACTTTTCTCCTGAGGTGTAACTCATATTTAATTTAAAAAAAATATCAATAAAATCAGTTCACAATTGATATAGATAACGGGTAAAAATACATAGAACAAAAAAACATACAGTTTGATAGAGTAACTTCTTCTTTTTTGGTGTCATTTCACGCGGGTATTCTGTGAGAGCGTGGTTCTATCCTGGTCAAGCTAACCCATTTATGGTACAACTATAATATAGCTGTAGTGTGGCTCTACCACGGATAACATAAATTTTCGTAAAAGTTGTATATTACGTATATATACATATAAGAGATAATTTTCAACAAAGTTCTTAAACGGGTTAAATAAATCTGAGTTACCTTCTCCCTTAGTATCATACTGTGGACGACCAGCTCTGCCCAACATCTGTAACACATCCAGAGCGCCCAATTCGCTCCATCTGCCTTTATCCGGAGAGTACACCTGGGTGCCCTTCACAATGACAGTGTGGGCTGGCAGGTTCACACCCCAGGCGAGGGTTGCTGTTGACACCAGCACCTGGAGAAATCAATTCATTTAAAAAACAGCAAGTTAATGTTAATTTTTGTTTTTTTTTTTTATAGAATTAGGGTGACAAACGAGCACACAGACTGTCTGATGGCAAGTGGATGTTGAGGTCCCATAGACATCTACATTTTTTCTCGATTAAGAATCAAAATGCAGATACGTTGTCATTCCAGAGAACTGAGACTGGAGACCGGCATTCCTCGTTTTCATTAAAAACGGTCTCCGGTTCTCTACACGGACCATACGAAACACAGAAGCGTTAAGCTGTTATTTCACGCTGGTATTCTGTCAGAGCGAGGTCTTACCTCGGTCGAGACCACGAAGCAAATACAAAGAGGAGATTGCGTAAGCAACTGTGCACTGTGATTCTAACTAGGCCATTACGTCGTCACAGTGGGCGTGGCTTTCCTTAGTATACTGTCGGCGTTTGTCCTGTGCGCTTATGTGTCGAAAATCGCAAATTGGTGTATTTTCGTAGTATTAAGAAGAGGATGAAGCGTTGTGTTTTATCGTGTAAAAACTACTCAAATAGACAATCTGATACTATGGATGGCATGACATTTAATTTGTACGTAATTTTATACTTAATTTATTAAAAAGGTTCTAGAAAAATCTCTGTGTAGGCTTCCAAATGTAATTAATTATATTCGACACTAGATGGTGACACTTTGTGTCATGTGAACTAAAAATATAAAGGTACGTAGAGCTCAGTATTGGTAAAATAATCATACGAAGGTGTTGACATTTGTTTTGCATTCAGTCCTAAAGTATTTTTAACCGCCAAAATATTTTTATAATATTTACAATCATATGTGAATAGACCGCCATCTATCGCCAAGGTAGCTAAACTACATTGCAACATCGATATGGAACGATTCGAGTAGTTTTACTATTATCGATAGATGTAGATAGTAAAGTGGGCGGGGGCTTAACATCCACTCACCTTGCAAATTGTCACGCGTTGTTACATAGTGAAATGTAATTACAACACCTCCTGTTTGTATTTGGTCTGTGGTCGAGCCGAGCCATTTGGTCCGGCGTGGCTCTACCATGTGCAAGGAATGGAAGTGAAGCAGGGTGTAGGGTGTAAGGTGTAAGGAGCACCTGTATGTGGCGGTCGGCGAACAGGTCCTCGACGAGCGTGCGGTCGACGCGCGTCATGCCGGCGTGGTGGATGGCGAAGCCGTAGGGCAGCAGCTCGCGCAGCTCCGGGTTCTTCACCTGCTCCGCCTCGCTGCGCAGCACCTCCACGCTCGCCGACCCCTCCCTGCGCACCACCGTAAAAGTTTTTATTTTATTTAAAAAGCTTACATGTAACACCTTACAGTTAAACATACATAGGGCAGACATAAAGCCATTTGGCATTCTCTGCCAGTCAACCCTGGGTGCCAGACAATTATTAGCAGATGCGAAACATGTTACTTATATAAATTATACACACATATATATATATACGTCAGCGCCTGTGTGGCTAACTAGAAATCTTGTAGACAACACGTGCACTCAAAGATTATAATAAGTATATACCGGAAAAGAGAGCCCTCGAGAGACGATATTTTATTGCAGACAAAATTAAACTACTAGCATCTCCTACAAAGTGAATCCGAACTAATTTGCTATATGTAGCTATATTATATACATCATATTGAAACTATTATGTTTTTTATTTCGTATACTTTAAAACAGTTCCCACTTTTTTGTAATATTTATTGATAATATTAAAAATAGGTAAATAGTTTCAATATGTACACTTGTATTTCTGAGATAACAATATGTAAAAAGAGTATTCGCTATTTGCCATAAAACAAGAATGACAATTTGATATGACAATTATTTCATTATTTATTATAATATTATGATGGTTACCAGTATCATAATTATCATGTTAATCGATTAATTCCATAATTATTACGTATTTTTGTGTTAAAATGATAATTTGTTATTAATAACTTCACCAATAATTTTTTGGTGTACTTATTTTTATTTTGTAAATAGATTTCATTTTATTTTTTCAAAGTAACGACATCTGTGAAGCCATAAAACCAACTATAAACAAAACTTCAGAATTACTTCAAAAGGTTCCCTGTTTTATATAAAAAGCCTACCTACGTAAATTTAAATTTAAAGGCGCTTTCATATTTTTTTTAGTCCTTTAATAGACAACGGACAAAATGTACCATACAGCCTATATAGATTTTATACTTTGTGTAATCGATTTATTTTGGTGAACATTATTATTTATTCTTGAAATTGAAATCTATCCAGTAGTTTTTCTGTGATGCGCGCACAACTGCAGACCTCTATCTTTTTATTTATATAGGTAGATATGTAGACTAGCGAAAGATCTACGAAGGATAAACCAAAAACAAAATATGTTACATAGAATATAGCCTAGATCCCTCCTGGCTCTCTATCTGTAGGTGAAGTTACATCACAATCAGTTCAGCCATTCTGAAGATTAGCTCGTATAGACTGACAAACAGACAGACACGAAAATTTTTAAAGTGCTTATATATGTCTCAATAGTATTCGAATATTTATAAGAAAAAATAATAATAGAGTATTTAAATAATTATAATTCTTAAAAAGTTAATGTACTAATAAGTTCTAGATATTTAAAATTAAATAAGTAATAAAAAATAACCCCCTCTGAGCTTAAGACGGACACTTTAATTTTATTTGTTCGTATAGACATAGCTTTAAGGTATTATATATGAAATAAAAGAAATAAAAATGTATTATAATAACCTAAGGGTTGAATGAAACGAATATCATTTTTTAAAGACTTATTCTGTCTCATAATAAAATATAAATTTGAATTTCGAATTCCAAAATTTTCCAATTAGCAACAATAATTTCCGTATTACGTCAGGTAACCCAGCCTAGCCACCTACCTGAGGAACTGTCCCAGGGTGTCTTTCTCCAGGCACATGTCGCGTATGGCGCGTGCCGTCTTGCCCGTTTCCTTGCGAGAGTGAACGAACACTAGAATCTGTGAAAGCAATGCATCATTATTATTTAACAAAAGGGGGAAGGGGGGAGGAGGGAGTTAGGAGTTCACCATGTTGAATAATGTTTGCCCTATCTAACTTATACCGATGTACTCGATGACAAGACACCTGCGTTTTAATTCCTAATCGAGGATAGATGCAGGTACAGTTACACATGGTAGGGCCACGCTGCAGCTATATTATGGTATATGCAGCACGAATGGGTCGGCTCGACCGGGGCAGGACCATACTCTCACAGAATACCAGCGTAAAATAGCAGCTGAATGCTGCTGTGTTTCGTATGGTGAGTGTAGAGAACCGGAGACCCTTTTTACTGGAAAAGAGGCATTCCATCTTAGTCCTCGCAGATGACAACGCATCTACATTTTGATTCTTAATTGAAGATAAATTGTGGATGTCTATGGGCCGCAGCATCCACTTACGATCAGGTGAACTGTGTTCGTTTGTCAACTTTTTCCTATTAAAAAAAAAATGTATTGGACCGCAGTATTCACTTACCATTAAATGAACAGTGTGTAATATGGGTGTTACATGAAGAGAGACATGTTGCTGGTACTAAGTCTTTAATAGGGTATTTTACACCATGTAAAAAAAATCAAAGAATATATATTTATGATAGATTTTGTAAAAAGTAAACGAGAAATATTGATTTCTATTTATAAAAATGCATTATTAATTTTATATTTCAATTTAAAGAATATTTTTTTTACCTGTGCCTCAAATCTGCAAAACAATGTCCGCCATATTAGATAGCATCGTGACGTCACTAGGTCAAAGAACTAGGTTATGTGCTGTGTACTAACTAGCTAATTTCGAAATTTTTCAAGTTATCATTACGATTGTTGACTTTTATTCCGAATTTTATTGAAAAGGCATCATGGAAGACGGATTCGTAAAAGCGAGTTTTTTACTTCGCTTTTAGCACTAATGTTATAGATATTATAATATAAGCTTGTGAGAAAAACTTTTTGGTATATTTTTTTTTTTGTACAAACCCTCAGAAGAAATAAAAAGTCACTTTTTTATTTGGGCTGAGTACAAACCATGCATTTATTCCCATATAATAGAAGAAAACAGGAATTATGTAAAACACTGCACTGCACTAGCAAGGGCTACCAAAATGGCCCACAAAGGGCGGGACAGACGAGCGATTAACCTAATCTATTACAAAATTTGACTTGCAATAGGTACCTATCATGTCATGATGTTTTGTTTTGTTTAATCGATAGTTAAATGTAAGTCACACTTACATCAAAGTGATCTTCACAGAAGTATAGCTTAGATTTTGTAGACAATGCCTTCGGGTCTCTTCTTGCCAGTTTTAACCAAGTATTTCTCATATTTAAATCAGTTGGCACTTTAATGCATAACTTCCCCGGCGTTCTTATGCTCGTATTTTTGCAATCAGGCACAACACAACAATGATATAAATGATAACTCATTATTAAACATTCAAAAGTATCAAATTCCTTCGCAAAATTGTCAAAATTCTAGGACAGTGACGTCACGAGTTGAACAGTATGGCGGCTAGCGTTTTCACAATAAGAATTATAGTGGTTCATTCTCACTCTAGGATTCATTTAAAACACGTTTTGCAAATGGGTGTAATAGCCTATTACACTACTCTCTATTCTTAACTCTAATATACGGTGTAGCGATAAAGTTATCACATTAAATGAAAAGACTTCTCCTATATAACGTTCTTTGAACATACACAACTAAAAATATGTAACAATTAACATTCTAGTCGCAATAGCCCTTATTTTCGTTTTTTGTCTAATCACTTATGAACGGGAAAGTGTAGGTAAATAACTACCTATGTCGATGCCGCGTGAGCACTGCGCACCTGCCGCACCGTTGCCGCGTTTACATGTCACTTCTGGTCAGTGAACTAATATTATCAAGGTGATTTATTTCGTGTTAATTTTTTCGCTATTTATTTTGTTTGAAAGATGCATTTTTTTATTTCATTAGAATTTTTTATTTTATTATTTTAATCGACATATATGAACTTGTATATACCGCTGCCTAATCGCCACCCAGTATGATAGTCGTTGGGGCTATACTACACTACAGGTGTTTTCTGTACGAATATCTTTCTACCCTGGTCGATCTGAGCCATTAATATTTCAGCACAAAAAGGGAGAGACGGTAAAGAACCCACCTATGTCGAATAATCTAAGACCTATCAAATCTATACCGTTATACTCAGGGATGACAATAGTAACAAGTATCTATTGGACCACAATACCCACTTACTTGTAATCTGTACCTGTAACTGCGTTTTCTTTGCGAGTACTGTCCATCCCTGGTCGAACTGAGCCATTAATGTTCCAGCAAAATTACTATATACTTATAGGCCTCCTCCATAGATTGCCTCATGGGGGCGGGGGGAAATATTTTTTTTGTATCAAGAAGCTGCTGCTTTTTTTACAATCTCCTGGTTTGTTTCCCTTTGTCGCCTCTTACAACACCCATGGAAGATATCGATAGTGGATATTCTTACACCAGCCCTAAATAGTTCTTCTCTCACACTTCTTCACAATATCACTTCTTCAGCTATATCATATTGATCGAAATAGGAAACCCTGAACTGACCTGATTCCTGCCCGCGTGTTCCATGGTCTTCTCATAGACAATATCGTTCATCACTTGGAACCTCTTCAGAGCCTTCTTTTCCGTCACACCAATGTACTGCTGCTCGAGTGCTACTGGTCTGGTGGAGGTAAAATTATTTATTAACTATATTTTCCTTTTTTAGTGGAAACGAGGCATTCCATCTTAGTCCTCACGGGTGACAACGCATCTGCATTTTGATTCGACATCGATGATCGATGATAGATGCAGATATCTATAGGCCACAGCAACCACTAACCATCAGGTGGACTGTGTGCTCGTTTGTCATTATTATTCTATTAAAAAAAAACTATCATGCAGATAGACGACGATAGGGAAGACTTACAAAATGATCACGAAGAAGTAATATCTGATAATATCTGAACTTAAATAGTCCCTCACCTGAAGGAGTTATCGAAGTAAAAAAGTCCCTTCTCCGGTCTCACTCGCAAGAAGGCCGCGACGTCGGTGTAGTTGGGTAGCGTGGCGGACAGGCCGACGAGACGAACCTGATATTCACGTGTTATTTAAGAAAGAGAATTATTTTACGTTTAAGCTTCTAATATCTAATGAGGGCGATCCACGAATTTTTCCGCCATCAGTTCGACGACGTCACTTAAGAAAGAGGCCAAATAACGGATGTCCGCCGGCAGATTTTACACTTTAACTAAAAATATAAACTTAAAGAACAATGGCAAACTTTCATACAGAAAATTAGTTGAGAAGGAATGGTAGCGTCTATATATCAAAAATATCGTAAAATTTCATCAGAATTTTGTCCTGAGTAGGCGTCAAAAAAAAAGAAATTTAGATTTGAACCTTTTTAAGTTATGTCTTATGTCACTTGGAAAACGTCATGTGTCCTGTGTTTGTTTGATGTCAGCTTAATACATTCTCAATATAATGTACCTACCTACATAATTGAGAGTTTTTAGATTATTGTATCTCTATTATATATTTAAATACTATAAATGTCTATTTCTGGCATGGGTCCAGGGCCCTTGTGTCATACAGTGACATTCTCAGAAGGGCTAGAACCCAGAGCCGTAAAGCCGGTTAGAAAAAAAAGTGACATTATATTTTAGCTAGTGATGCCATAACACTAAATGGAATTGTTACATAGTACTATGATTGAGATAATGTATCATTGTAGGAAGTTCTTTGTAAGAGACTTATTTTCAACCATATCACTTTTATTTTTATTATTACTGATAGTATAGTTATTACTAATAATAACTTAATATAAAAATATTTTGTGTTTGTGTGTTGTGTTGATAGTCTTACAAAGTATATACGAAAATAGTATGAATATAGTAAATGGCAACACTTGGATAGAGTAAAAGGATTAAAGTCATTTAATATTCCCAAAAATTTTTTTTTCTGTAGCTTTAATTAAAATATATTTTTATTTGAAAAATCATAGAAAAATAATTAAACTCATTTTATATATAAGTTATTTCTAGACGCAATAATTTTTGTCAACTATTCTCTTCTGCTCTTGTTCTTTAAATGCATACAAATTTATTTAAGTATTTTACTACCTTACTAAATAGTAGATCATCGTCATGATCATCAAAGATCGTCATCTTCAACGTTAATGTCATCGTCATCTTTATCTTCAGCGCGTCTTCGTCATCGTCAAGGTCACCGTTATGGTCATCGTCATGTTCATCGTAATCGTCAATGTCATTATAATCGTCAATGTCATCATCTTCATCATTTTCATTGACATGGTCATGGTAACTAGAAGCATTTTATTTCGATTTCGATGTATTGACATAACATGCAAAATCAGAAATGGAAATAAAATCCAAATTAAGCTTACAGTTACAGTCTACAAAAGTCCACAACCGAACATAGGCCTCCTCTATAAATAGCCTCATAAGGAGAATATTTGCCATAATTGCCACACTTGGCGGGCGGTTTTTTTTAGTTATTATAAGGAAGACGCTGCTGCCCATCTCTTGGTTTGTTTCCCTCTATCTACACCCACGAGACGACGCACGTACTGCTGTGCTGCACGTATTCCGGTCTAAAGGGCATATAGAGAGCTAGTATCAGGCTGTGAGAGTGAGGCATTACCCCTTAGTCCTCAGAATGACAATGCATTTGTAATAATATTGTTTTGTATAAACGAACTTATTGTTAAGTGAAATATGTTTGAAAAAAAAAGTCCCGCTGGGTTTCTTGCTGGTTCTTCCCAGAACTGGGGTGTTTTCCGAACAAGTGGTAAATAAAAAATGACTTTCAATAAGTATTATGTAATAATCAATATTGAATAAAAAATTATTCTATTCTATTCTATTCTAATAGGCCTACCCCATAGATTTGTGAACATGTCCATGTATCGATGTGTCAATGTGTGGATGTGTCGATTTGGGGACGTGTCGATGTATCGATGTGTGGATGAGTGGATGTGTGGATGTGAGGATGTATCGATGTGTCAATGTGTGGATGTGTCGATTTGGGGACGTGTCGATGTATCGATGTGTGAATGGCTGGACGTATCGAATGTGTGGATGTATTGATGTGTCGATGTATCGATGTGTGGATGTATGGATGTATCGATGTGTGGATGTATCGATGTGTCAATGTGTGGATGTGTCGATTTGGGGACGTGTCGTTGTGTCGAAGTGTGAATGTCTGGACGTATCGAATGTGTGGGTGTATTGATGTGTCGGTGTATCGATGTGTGGATGTGTGGGTATGTATCGATGTGTCAATGTGTGGATGTGTGGATGTGTCGATGTATCGATGTGTCAACGTGTGGATGTATCGATTTGTCAATGTGTAGATGTATCAATGTGTGGATGTGTCGATTTGTAGACGTGTGGATGTATCGATGTAGGGATGTTTCAATAAGTTTATGTGTGGATGTGTCGATGTGTCGAAGTGTGAATGTATTGATGTGTTTATGTGTGGATGTATCGATGTGTCAATGTGTGGATGTATCGATGTGTGGATGTGTCGATTTGTGGAGGTGTGGATGTCTCGATGTAGGGATGTTTCAATAAGTTTATGTGTGGATGTGTTAATGTATCCGAAAATTAACACATCCATATATCGAAACATCGATACATCCACACATAAACACGTCGACACATCCACACATCGATACATCGACAAGTCCACAAATCGGTACATCCACACTACCGATTTGTAGACGTGTGGATGTGCCAATATTTATGTTTGGATGTGTGGATGTATCGATGTGTAGATTTGTGGTTGTGCCAATTTTTATATTTGGATGTGTGGATGTATCGATGTGTGGATGTGGCAATGTGTGGATGTGTGTATGTACGTGTGTACGTGCGTAAGTATTCACCTCCTCCTGCGTGTGCTCAACGGTACGCAGAGTCCTGGCGACGAGCGCCTCGAGCACGGGCCCGCGCTCGTCGTGCAACAGGTGCACCTCGTCGATGATGATCAGCCGCACCAGGTTCGTGAACGAACGCTCCCCACCTGTCATCACCATACAATATACCACCATAGTAGAGCCATGCCGCGACTGCTAGTCATGAGGCCCTGGGTTCGTTTCCATCCATCCACCAATTACAGTCAACTGCTGAACATTGGCTTACCCCATAGACTGCCATACAGCGGGGAGTTTGACATGGTTGCCACGTATGGCAGGTGGGTCGACAACCGCAGTTTCTTTATTATTTTAAGCTGTTATCATCTGACACCAAGAAAACGTTGCTGCCCATCTCCTGTTTCAGTTTCCCTATGTCGCCTGTTACGACACCCACGGGTCGATATGGGGTAGTGGATATTCTTACACCGCCACTACACGGGCCGTTAAGAAATTCTCAGTACCAGCCCAAAATCATGAAGTTGGCTGTTTTTTACGTGCAAAGCCGTCAGTCCTGCGCCTGATCTCTCCTGTCGTGTCAGATAGCCGTCCCATTGGACTGTAAAAGAGTGAGGAAATAGAAAGCGCTCCTGTGTTTGCACACACAGTTACTTTACACTACACTTTACGCGATAGAGCCATGCTACAGCTATATTAGTGGGTCGGCTCCACCGGGGAAGGACCACGCTCTCGCAGAATACCAGCGTAAAATAGCAGCTTAATGCCATCTGCATTAAAGCTGCTGTTTCACTTGGGTGAGTGTAGGGAACTGGAGACCCTTTTTACTGGAAAAAAGGCATTTTATCTTAGTCCTCACGGGTGAGAACGCATCTGCATTTTGATTCGTAATCGGCAAGGTCGGCAACGCATCTGCAACTCTGGTGTTGCAGTTGTCCATGGGGCGTGTTCAACAAGAAAAGTTATTATTTGAATGTTTTAGCTTTTAAAACTCAATGTCCGAAGATTTGAATAACAATACTAATTCATTAATAATAACAATCATTGGTGGAAGCTGTTAAATCTCTAGGCGCTGTTATATGTTTTGATCAGGTGATCAAAGTACTGAGAGCACGGAGAGAGTACTGGCAGCGATTTATGACGTCATATATTTCCCTAGGGTACTGCGGCAGTATACCGGCAGTCCATAACAGAACAAATTTTTCACTGGTGAGAGCACTGAGCAGTGCTCGCAGTGTACATCGGAACACGACCTAAGTCTATCACGAAGATAAACTCAAAAAACAATTTGCTTAAAAATTGACAAATTTTTAAAATCTGACAACACCGGCAGCCGACCGCGCCATGTATTCCCATGTAATTTTCCCCTTTTAATTTTTTATTCCTTTGAGGTACTTTTTTTCTTTACTCTCTGAAAAGAACCCTCACACATCGGACAGGTTTTTCTACACAATATGAATTGCCATAAAACATACCTTTTCTAGTGATAATGTCCCATTTCTCCGGGGTGCACACAATCAGCTGCGTTGCATCGATCTGCTCCCTTGTCAGCTGGTGATCTCCCGTCAGTTCCGACACCTTCATGTTATACGCTGAGAGACGTTTGGTGAAATTGCCCACCTGGTGAAGAAGAAAAGAAATAACATATACTGTCAGGAATGTTAATAAAATAAATGAAAGGAACAACGCACACGTGAGGGTAGAGCTATGTACTCTGCCATCCGTTCTAGCAGTATAGTATCGCGCAGGCGAATAAGAAATATCGTTCTGTAATTCTGCGAGTCTCCGTGTCGTTACTATGCCCATAGGGGTATTCTACTAGTGTAGGCCATGGATCGTGTTGCTGAGAGGCTGCCCTGTGTTACACTGAGCAGTATTAGTATAGTAATAGTATTGCAGTTGGTTTGTATACTTTGGTGTTATAATATAATTGGGTCCTTCACGTTACAGCGGTGTGATTGTGACGGGAACATGTTATAGTTGGGTTATTCCGTTTATCCACCTCAAGGTGGATAGTGGGTAACTCATGTTCGTTTATCCACGTGACATACGAGCACACAGTCCACCTGATGGTAAGTGGTTGCTGTGGCCCATAGACATCCACATCTATCTTCGTTTGCGCATTAAAATGCAGATGCGTTGTCATCCGTGAGGACTAAGATAGAATGCCTCTTTTCCAGTAAAATTGGTCTCCAGTTCTCAACACTCACCATACGAAACACAGCAGCATTAAGCTGCTATTTTACGCTGGTATTCTGTGAGAGCGTGGTCGAGCCGACCTATTCGTGCTACTACTATACTATTAACATAGTTGCAGCATGGCTCTACCACGTACATAAAATTGTACATGGTAGGAACTGGCCCAAGACTACTCATTAGATATTAGCATACTTATAAAATACATACATACTTCTAATTTAAAGGTCAAAACTGAAATACTTTTCATTGTTCAATTACATATCATTCGATGTGACATGATTTACGGCATTGAATAATGATGATAATATGATGGCGTTAGTGAATCACTATGAAAAGACATGCCTCAAGGGCGAAAATTATGTAGCTGTTTGGAATCCATTCGGAGTGTTTTAAAGAACTACAAATTCTTTGGAATCTTGTCATAAAACAATATCAAATGAAATTAAAGACAAACATCCAAAATTTTGTAAAGTTTGTGGATTGTTTGTAGTTTTGCGCCCAGTTTTTTGCTAGCACAGCTGTTGTAACAAAGAAATTTAGAAAACGTTTGCAAATATACAATAAAAGAGACTAATTTATACAGAATGTACAATTACGTCTACTTAATAATGAAATTAGTGTTGGTATTATTGTTTAAATTTGTGGTTCATCATCATCATTACAGCCTTTCATAAGTCCACTGCTGAACATAGGCCTCTCCCAAGGAATGCCATAAAGCACGGTCCTGAGTCACCTGCATCCATCGACTTCCTGCATGTCTTACCAAGTCGTCACTCCAACTCGTGGGGGGTCGCCCTACACTTCGCCTACCAGTACGAGGCTGCCACTCGAGAACCTATCTTCCCCATCGGTTGTCGATTCTTCGAGCTATATGGCCGGCCCACTGCCACTTCAGTTTACTACTCTGTTGGGCTATGTCAGTTGCTCTGGTTCTACTGCGGATATCCTCATTTCTAAGTTTATTACGCAGAAAAACTCCGAGCATAGCCCTCTCCATAGCTCGCTGAGCGACCTTGAGCTTCCTCATACGGCCAGCAGTGAAGAACCACGTCTCAGATCCGTAAGTCATCACCGGCAACACGCACTGGTTGTACAATTTCGTTTTAAGGTTTTGAGGTATGTCTGACGAGAAGATGTGTCGTAGTTTCCCGAACGCTGCCCAGCCGAGTTGAATCCGTCGATTGACCTCTCGGTCGAAGTTGGACTTACCTAGTCGGACTATTTGACCCAGGTAAACATACTCGTCAACAACTTCGAGCTTAGTGCTCAATTTGTGGTTATTAAAAATTAATCAATAGTATATTAAAATATGAATATATTTTCAGTAGAACTGTACTTGAGGTGGAAAGGCGGAACAACAATCAAAAAGTGAATTCCGACTATACCCCCGTCTAGGGTGGATAAACGAACACACGCGTTTCCGAGTATCCCCACCCTTGGGTGGATTTCTTAGGGTGGATAAACGGAATAACCCGATACAGTTGGTCGAACTGTATTGCTCTATACTGAATGTATGATGCAGTGCGCTGTTCACCAGAATGGTTTCAGATAGTAAGCTGGGTTTGTTACCCAGTAGTGTTTTTTATTTAAATAATTTTGGCAATAATTTCTAACATCAGAAGTGAAATCTTACAATACAGTAAAAGTGTAAGTAAAATTACAGCAAAGATCTGAAGTAGACGACAGCATTGTTACAGGGATGGGCCGGCTCGAACCGGGGTGGTACCATGACCTCACAGAAAACCAGCGTGAAGTAGAGGTTTACCTCTGCGTTTCGCTTGGTGAGTGCAGGTGGCCGGAGGCCCTTTTTACTGGAAATGAGGCATTCCATCTTAGTCCTCACGGGTGACAACGCATCTACATTTTGATTTGTAATAGAGGATAGATGTAGATGTCTATGGGCCGCAGCAACCACTTATCATCAGGTGGACTGTGTGCTCGTTTGTCACCCTTATCCTATAAATAAAAAAAAATAAAAAAAGCACTCGGCCATTTTGTCTATTCCAATTGGGGTGATTTTTAATTTCAATAGAGACTTATGAAACAACCTTGGTAAGAATCGGTGTAGTGCATTACATGCTACAGAGTTCAGGAAGTCTACAATATCTCTACATGTTCAGAATCATCCAAACTATTACATCAGATTTGATAAACCACAAATCTTCGCAAAAGTACACCGATTCCATCCAAGGATCATTTGCAAGCCTACTGAAATTAAAAAGTATCCTAATTGTAATTCCTAATAATTACAAATAATTATTATTAATGATTATTATTTAGTGAGTCTGCATGTATGTCAACATGTTCAGGATCGTCTCAATGATTACGTTAGATTTGATAGACCATAAACACTGGCAAAATAACACCGATTCCAACGAATTGATTAAGAATAATTCGCGCGTCTATTGAAATAAAAAAAAAACATCCAAATTTTAACAGATAATATGGCAGGGTGCTACTATCTGCTTGAGATCCCATAATTAATAAAATAGAATCCAAACCCAATTAATTCAAGATACTACCCCATAAACATAGCTGTTGTAAAGCGCTCGAAACGTCGAAATTTAAAAGAAATAAATATCAAATTCGATACAATACGAATTTTATTTTAATTTTGAAGTCAATACTATAAAACAGTTGTGAAATAGTTGTTTAAATGAATTAAATCTCCGTTAAGAGGATTGTGAAGTGCCGAAACGCGGCGCAAGTGGGTATTTTAAAAAAATGGTATCTGTTTCATCCCGCTCGCTCCGAATCGTCATAACATGCGATAGAGAGAGTTCCAAGTCTTGGAGGCAATTGCCTACATTTCTTTTTTGAAATATTGTTTCGGGCGATAACGTCCGCACCCCACTATACCTTTACCTTAAACAAATGAGACAATTTTGGTGTCTTAACATTCAGTAAACCTTAACCTTGGTCTGTACGTTTTTCTTTTTTGCCGAATTCCAAAAAGGACGGTACTCAATTCAACTATATGTTTTTTTTTATGTGTGTTACACCTCATAACTTTGTTCTAAGTGAACCGATTTCGATGATTATTTTTTTTTATTTGAAATCTAGTACTTCTTATGTTGTCACATATAAATTTGATCAAGGTCTGAGCAATAGTTTTTGAGTTATCCTTATATTGAAGTCAATGGTAGAAAATTCTTAATTTTTAATTATTCATTATATATAAACATTTCCAAAAATTATTAGACAGTGGTTACGACAGGGTTTCCCAACCTTTTTTGACCAGGAACCACTTTGATTTATTTGTTGTTAGCAGGGACCACAAGATGAAAGAAAAAACTATGTTAATCTAACAATAAATTTTAATCACAACTTTTAACATAAACTATACAATAAACTGAAAAGGAATATTCATTCACATATATTATAATTTGTGTATTAATTGTAAAAGAAATCATACATGTTTCGTAACAAATTGCGATTTCGATGGCGTAACGACGCTTGGTGTTAAGAAAATAATAAATGTGTTATTTAAAAAGAAAAGGTAGGTATCATATTTAAATCTTTCGCGGACCATATTTAAGCTCTTGGTGATCCGCGGACCACTGGTTGCGAATCACTGGTTTACGGGGTGGAGGGGGGAGTTATCGCGTTTTATATGAAAGTTAACAGGTTCATTATTCTCTTAAAAAAAATTAAAGTCTCTCACTCACCATCTCCTGCACGAGGGATCTCATCGGCGCAACATAGATCATCTTGAAATCGTTGACATTGACCGTTCCATCATCGTTGACGTGCTTACCCACTTCCCGGAGTATGCAGAGCAGTGCCACGTTTGTCTTACCGGCCCCAGTCGGTGCACACACCAACAGGTTCTCATCAGATTCCAAAGCAGCTTTGCAAATACGACTCTGTGGGGATATGGTTCAAAATAGATTATCAACCAATGTTATTTTTTTATAGAACAAGGGTAAAAAATAAGCACACAGTGCACCTAATGGTGCACTGTGTGCTTATGAAGTGGCCCATTTATACTCGCTAAAGAATCAATGGATCAATGCAGTAAGGCGATGGATGCAGATGGCTCAAGACTGTGCTTTGTGGCATTTCTTGGGGGAGGCCTATGTTCAGCAGTGGACTTGTGAAGGGCTGTAATGATGATGATTATGATGATGATGAAGAATCAAAATGTAAATACACTCGCCATACGAAACAGAACAGCTTAACACTGCTATTATACGCTGGTATTCTGTGAAAACAATTTTCTTTCCCGGTTGAGACGCCACAGTCGTGCTAAAAACATGCTATAGCTGCAATGTGGCTCTATCAGGCGACATTATGACGTCACTGGCTATTATGAAATAGGTTCACGTTTCTTTTATAGAAGTAAGGTTGCCATGTGGTTTTTCTTTTATAGCAGAGGTGGCAAACGAGCATGCCGCATACTTGACGGTAAGTGACTACCGCCGCACATGAACACCTGCAACACCAGGGGAATTGCAGGTGCGTTGCCAGCCTTTTAAAAAAGAGTAGGCTAATTAGACCCTAAGTCGTATCGGTCCGGAAAAATCCCTGGTGGTAGTCGATCCAAAATCGAATATATCTTATATCCTAATAACTGTTAATAATCAGTCGATTGGTGACGGTGTTAGAGAGTCTAACGCCCCATTTCATCCCGTAGGAATCACAAGTATGTGAAACTCCAGGGAGGTTTCATGGTTTCCGGTAGAGGGAGTATAAATAACCATCTCATTTACCCCACAGAGAGCTTAATGGTGTTGTTTCGACAGTGAGTGTACAGAATTGAAGACCCTCTTAACTGGATACGAAGCATTCCTCCTTAGTTCTTAGGAGTGTTAGTTCTTATATGTGGCCATGCCGCAGCTACTTTATAGCTGTAGTACAAATGGGTCAGCTGAACCGGGGAAGGACCATGCTCTCACTGAATACTATTGTGAAATTGCAGTGCTAGCAATGCTGCTGTGTTTCGTATGGTGAGTGTAGAGAACTGGAGACCCTTTTTACTGGAAATGAGACATTCTCCATCTTAGTCGTCAGGCCACATCATTCACTCACCATCATCTACGCTTGTGTGGACTGTGTGTTCGTTTGTCACTCTTACTCTATAAAGAAATTCTGAAAGAGTAATACAAATTGGCCGGGGGGATATTGTATCTATTTTCTCCCTCATCACCCCACCACATCTTACCTGTATCCGGTTCAAGGTCTTGAATCCTTCGAACGCCGGCTGCACGTATTTGGGCAGCTTCTCAACGGGCATCAGAGTCTCGTTCTCTTCGAAGGGTTTCGGTTTTAACGCTGGCACGTGTACTTCTTCATAACCTGAAAATATCAATTATATTACAAATCAATGCAGTATGGCAACTCCGTACTGGCGGGCGGGTTACCAAGCCTAAAGATATATGCTTTGCAAACACTCATTAGATGTAGGCGGTGCGTCAGAGCACAAAATTCAAGTCATCACCATCATGATTCAATCATTACAGCCTTCACAAGTCCACTGCTGAACAAAATCTCCCCCAAGGAACACCACAAAATCTGGTCCTGAGCCACCTGCATCCATCGACTTCCTGGATGCCTTACCAGGTCGTTACTCCATCTAGCGGGGGGACGCTCTGCACTTTGCCTAAAGGTACCAGGCTGCCACTCGAGAACCTTTCTTCTCCATCGGTTGTCGGTTCTTCGAGCTATATGGCCGGCCCATTGCCACTTTAGCTTACTCATCCGTTAAGCTATGTCGGTTACTCTGGTTTTACTTTGGATAGCCTCATTTTTAAGTTTATCACACAGAGAAACCCCGAGTATAACCCTCACCATGGCTCGCTGAGCGATCTTGAGCTTCTTCATACGGCCAGCAGTGAAGGACCACGTCTCAGTTCCATAGGTCATCACTGGCAACACGCACTGGTTGTACAGTCTCCTTTTCAAGTTTTGAGATATACCTGACAAGAAGATGTGTCGTAGTTTCCCGAACGCTGCCCAGCCGAGTTGAATCCGTCGATTGACCTCTCGGTCGTTACCTAGTCGAACTATTTGTCCCAGGTAAACATAATCGTCAACAACTTCGACTTCGACTATTAAGTAGTTTTAATTATATAAATACTAGGGATAAGTAGATATTAAGATGAATATTGTTCTGTTCTTAACGAAGTGCTAAATCGCTGTAAGAGTAAATAAATTATATTTAAAACAAAGCTGTCGCTGTTCCTTTACCGGCGCAGAGAAGACCAGATGAAACATGCAAGTAGCCATTGGATACAGGTGGCTTAGGAATATACTTTGTGGTAATTTCTGAGGGAGGTCTAAATTCAGCAGTGGACTTGTGATGGGTTGCAGTGATGATGAGTGATTATAAATGAAACAATTAACAATTTAAATGTTTTTTTTTAATTAGTAAAGGATTTATTAAAGGATGTTTCTACGTGATAGAGCCATGCTGCAGCTACATTATGGTTGTAGCATAAATGGGTCAGTTCGACCGGGGAAGGATCACGATCTCACAGAATACCAGCGTATAAGCTGATGTTTTCGTATAGAAAGTGTAGAGAACCAAAAACATTTTTTAATGGAAACGAGGCATTCCATCTTAGTCCTCACGGCTGACAATGCAACTGCATTTTGATTCTTAATCAAGGATAATTGTAATATGTCTATGGGCTACAACATCCGTTTACTATCAGGTGAAGTGTGAGCTTGTTTGTCACCCTTATTCTATAAAAAAACACACACATACCAGTCTAAAAAAAAACACATAGTCGAAATTGAGTAGGGTGTGGTACAAGAACCACCACCAACTCACCTTTCCTCTGCTTCCTGAAGGAACCGGGTGGAAGTTGACAGCGCTTGTTAGCCATGAAATGAGAGCCGGCAGCGAACACCAACTCGTCAAGAGCCAGCACCTTCCTGGAGCCCGCCACTTGACCAGCACCCTCTCCGGTCTCCGCCTCTCCGGTCTTCTGACGTTTACGAGGCGCTTCAGACTGTTGCGCCATCTAACAACATTTTTTTAAATAGGAGTTAGAAATTAGTTACTACATGGTAGAACCATGCTGCAGCTATAATATGGCTGTAGCTTGAATGGTTCGTCTCGACTGGGGTAGGACCACGCTCTCACGGAATACCAGCGTAAAACAGCAGCTTAAGGCTGCTGTGTTTCATATGGGCAGTGTAGGGAAACGGAAACCCTTGTTATTGGAAACGAGGCATTCCATCTCAATTCTAAAGGGTGACAACGCATCTGCATTTTGATTCTTAATCGAGGAATACATTTATCATACATACATTTATGTATGTATGATAAATGTATATGGACTATACATCAGGTCGACTGTGTGCTCGTTCGTCACCCTTATTATATAAAAAAAAGCTTACAAGCAGGTGGAATACCTGAGGGTATGCGTCTACTGTAGCCCATGGTCATCTGTAGCTAACTTCTTTCAAAGTCATTACTTTTCAGAAGTCAAATGTTTCATATCTCTGTCTTACCATCAGTCTTTTGTTTAATACCTCTGTCCTAGAAAAAACTAACAAGAAACCCAGCTTTTAAAAACTAGAACAGCATATAATCATGTAATATGTTGTATAATATACTATTAGAAATAGCGCGTAATAGCAATCAATTAATTTCCAGGGGTTATTATATTTTTTAAACTCCTTATGTGATAATACATTTCTACCGACTCCAAAAAGGAGGAGGTACTCAATTCGACTGTATGTTTTATTATGTGTGTTACCTCATAACTTTTTACTGGGTGAACCGATTTCGATGATTCTTTTTTTATTTGAAAGCTGGTGCTTCTCATGTGGTCCCATATGAATTAGATCAAGGTCTGGTCAATAGTTTTTGAGTTATTCTTTATTTATATTGAAGTCGGTTGTACAAAATTTTTAATTTTAAATTATTTAACAATCACAATTTATTTCTTTTTTTGAACTTAGCAATAGACAAGTGTACAAATTTTCTAGAATTTTATTATACTCGTAAGTGTATACATTGGCCCAACGATGAATTGACACTGGTCTAGCAAATTGTACTACCAGCTGGTGTCTGCTTTTATTGTTCATCGAGTTGTAATGTTGGATCATGGCAGGGTCGCAATTATGGGCGCCGGCAACAGGGTGCAAGAGGGTGCAATGGCACTTCAGGTCAGGAAAGAAAATACATAGAATTTCTTTTTTATTCAGTTACAGTTTGAACGAAAACTGAAAGCGTCTAGGTTGCAATCGAAATTTGTTCATCACCTCGTTAATAAATTCAGTATTCTCCTCTACTCTATTCCTATGAACTTTGAGCATGCACAGGCCGCTTAGCCTCGCGTGTCTCATCGATGAGTGACTCCACGTCTTGAGACGACGTAATATACATGTATAATTCTTTTTTTATAGGATAGGGTGACAAAGGATCACACAGTCCACCTGATGGTAAGTGGTGGCTGTGGCCCATAGACATCTACATCTATCCTCTATAATCAAATCAAAATGCAGATGCGTTGTCACCCGTGAGGACTAAAATGGAATGCCTCTTTTCCAGTAAAAAGGGTCTCTACACACACCATACTATTTTACGCTGGTGTTCTGTGAGAGCGTGGTCCTTCTCCGGTCGAGCCGACCCATTCGTGCTACAACTATACTACTAATATAGCTGCAGCATGGCTCTACCACGTAAAAGAGAGCTATGAAGTTGGCGGTGTTTCACCCCCGTGCCTCGGAAAGCACGTAAAGCCTTTCACTTTCACTTGATCTCTCTCCGGTCGTGTCGGTTTACCATACCATCGGTGTCGGTGCACCCGTGCTTGCGCATACACTCGTACTCTATAACCCTGTCCTGTGCCGATGGCTAGTCTCCGTGGAGGACATTATTATAAACTAAACAACCTACCTCTTCGTCTCCCTTGCCGGTTTCAAGTTGTGCCAGTATCTTCTGCAGGTGCGGCTGCTTCGACATTTCTTCCCGGATAGCGGCCCTCTCGCTTTCAGATTGTGAGGACGCCAGCTTGGTGCAGTACAAAACTGGAAACAAATATATACATTAATATTAAGGTATAAGGTTTTTCCGCCCATAGAAGCCTAAACTGCCGTGTAATGTCGGTGTAAGAATATCCACTACTCCATATCTTCCCGTGGCTGTCGTATGAGCCGGCAGAGAGAAATAGAAACAGGAGATGGGCAGCAGCATCTTCCTGATAACACCTTCAAATTATATAATTAAAAATTAAACATTTTGTACAAACGACTTCAATATAAATTATTAAGAATAACTCAAAAACTATTGGTTAGACCTTGATCAAATTTATAATGGATCACCACATGTTAAACACCAGCTTTCAAATAAAAATTAAAATCAACGAAATCGGTTCACCCAGAAAAAAAATTTGGAGGTAAGTCTGCTTTTTGAAGTCGGTAGAAAAGACGCTGCGTTGACAATCCGCTTACCAAGCATGTTAACTATGATAAAATAATTATGAAAATCGTAGCTATTTTCTACCGACTTCAAAAAGGAGACGGTACTCAATTCGACTGTATTTTTTTAATGCGTGTTACCTCATAACTTTGTTCTACGTGAACCGATTTAGCTAAGCTAGTGCTTTACATGCGGTCCCATATAAATTTGATCAAGGTCAGACCAATAGTTTTTGAGTTATTCTTAATAATTTATATTGAGGTCGGTTGTACGAAAATTTTAATTTTAAATTATCAACAGTGGACCTTAATAAGCTGTAACAGTAACGGCACTTAATGGCAAGTGACTATTACAGCCCAAGTACAAAAACAACTTATTTCAAGTAAAGAAGGGTGACAAAATCTATACGTGAAGTGTCTCTGACTAAGATGGATGCACCAAATTGTCATCATCTCTCTACGATTATCTGCTCCCTGACATCTCTCGTCCCAAAGACTTTAACTCCCTTCTAATCTTCACAAATACCTCTTTCGTATATATTTTAACATACTAGTATTATTCTAACAGCATTGTCTGTCTTTTGTTTTAGGTAATGCAACAGATAAGTTGACCAAAATGATTCACATAATATACGTTGTTACCATTTCATGTATTTGCAATTTCACTTTTTTAAGCGGCGTTTGTGTACCAATTAAACCTTCTCACATGTAACATGTCATTGGCGAATTTATCGTAACCGTCATAAAGCAAGAAGATGAAGATGAAATGTGTAGTATAGGCCCCCCACGACAATTTATATTAATATTAAGGTAGATTAAGTTAATACTCTAATTAAAGTTCCAGTAACAGCCACATCTCTCTCTTTATTGACACCTTACCACATTACAAATCACAGCCTACAATTTCTTTTTTAATTTTTAATTTTGTTAACTTTATTGTTTTTTTTTTATGTTACCTCCACACTAGAATTTTGTCCTGTATCGTGAGGGCAGTTTACATACGTAAATTTCACAAGGACAAACATCCAGACCCGGAATAATTATTTGAAGTCGATACAAAAGTACCCTTAACCGACGAGCGTGTATGCGTAGATATATGGATGTAAAAGAGGCGAGAGAGGTGTGTCAGGATCCCGCCAAATGGAAGTCCGTAGTCTCTGCCTACCCCTCTGGGTGACAGGCGTGAGTGTTTATGTTATGTTATGTTACAAATATTTGTTCCGTGCGGGATTCGAACCCGCGGCTTTTAACGCTGTAACTCATTGCTAAGGCAGCCTTCAGGCGGAGGAATAATACTGGCTCTCTACACCCTCAGACCGGAACATGCTTTGCGGAATAAGACAGATACCAACCCAGATAACGAATCTTACCATCTTGTATTTTTTAATTAAGATTTTGACTTGTTTGCTGGTCCTTTAAGCTACCACTTAGTAAAACAAACTCATCCATAGGACTAGCATGTAAAGATCTGGGGAAAGGTATAGCGAAGAGGCAGAGAAATGTTCTTCGTGATAACATCCAGGGTATCACCGAACCGGCTATCAGACGTCTCGCTCAAAGGGGCGGTGAGAAACGTATCTCCGGTTTAATTTACGTGGAGACACGCAACGTACAACGTAATTCATGACGCGGTCACATACACCGAACACGCGAAGAGGAAAACCATCTATCGGATATCGTCTACGCCCTGAAACGTTAAGGACGAACCCTATACGGATTTGGCGCAGAGTTGCCAACACCAATTTGTCAAATTCCCCAAAATTCTAAGTCAGATTCCCAAATTTGGGGACATATAATCAACAGATTCCCCACAAATGGCTCTCAATATTATTTTAAGAAGTGAAACAAGTTTCAACTAATTTTATAGGATTTATTTTGTTACCTTACATTTTTTACTGAAATTTTTTTGTACAAGCATATTTTTGTAACAAGCATTTTACTGCATGGAGTGTTTTAAATTCCTTCCCTTTTTGCCATTAAAAAGTACCACAGTATCTGCATTTATTATATGAAAGCGGGTCTCTGCTTTAAAATTAAAAAAAAATAAAGGAATGAAAAAGCATTAAATTATACACAAAAGTAGCCGAAATCAATCAGAAAATTAAATGCAGTGCAATGAAGATAATTAAAAAAATTGAGTCATTGGATATCCATATGTAACCTTAGAAAAATGTTACGATATGTATTTAGATTTCTTGAAAAGGGGGTTCTATATATATATATATATATAGATTCTATATATGTATAGATTTTCAAAATCCCTGCATTTTCCCCGCATTTTGTAGTATTTGACGAATTCCCCACATGTTCGCAACGCTGATTTCGGCGGCTAATTTCTTATACGACAAAAAAGACAACGTCCATCGCCACGTACTACGGCTCTCTGTCCGCTCTAGATAGACAATCTATACATCATGTGCGTGTTCAGTCTCGTGTATGTCAGTACATGCTAGAAATATCATCCATTAAAGTTAGATAAGCCTCATGTTAAGATATATCCACTCAGGTTAGATATTTTTTTAGCCCTTTCTATTTTGATTACTGCCTCTTGTTTGTATATCTCTGTTTAGCCTAATGGTTGACTAGGAGAGAATGCCCTATATGGCATTAAGTCCGCCATATGTACAACTTTGTGCATGAAAGATTAAATAAATAAATAAGCCACACAAATATCACTGAAAAACGAACACTGAAACCTGAAGGGTTTGAATAATACTCACTTGTATATCTGTACTTGTTCAGCACTTTGACGAAGTCGAAGCAATCGTACCCCAGCAGAAGCACCAGCCTGTTCTCCAGGTCTCTGTCATCAGCCGCCTCAGCCAGGGCTTTTAGAACCTACAAACAATTTCATATAGATAACATTTAGTGACAGTAGCTTCATGACAAAGTACGGACCGCGAACTTAAAAGGTCATGGGGTTTGAATCTGTCATGCGATCACTGTTTTAAGCCACTCCTAGCACAATCACTTTGAGCTTACCAGGAGTGGCTAAAAGGAATATTGGTAATATTAATAACTGTTTTTTATAGGGTAAGGTGACATACGAGCACACAGTCCACCTGATGGTAAGTGGTTGCTGTGACACATAGACATCTACATCTATCTTCAATAATGCCTCTTTTCTAATAAAAGGGGTATCCGGTTCTCTACACTCACCATACAAAACACAGTAGCGCTAAGCTGCTTTTTTACGCTGGTATTCTGTGAGAGCGTGGTTCTTCCCCGGTCGAGCCGACCCATTCGTGCTACAACTATACTACTAATATAGCTGCAGCATGGCTGTAACACTTATAAACTTGTTTGAATGTGTGGATGTGGTCTATAGTACTGTAGTTCTATAGTACTGCCTGTTCGATCGGTTGGTTTTTGTCTAAGACCCTTTAGAAGAGTTATTTTTTCTAGAATTAATTTTGCGACTATTTTTACACATTTGATATTAGGCTTATTGGTCGGTAGTTGCCCTCTTTTTTCCGTAGGTCCTTTTCTTATGTAAAGTGTGTTAATAAACGAGGAATCTATTTTTTCTCAGTGTTGTCCTAATGTCAATTTATTTTTAATCTTATTTCTACCTGTTTTTGTTAGATGTTTTTTTAACGGCAGCGTACCATGCATTCGTATTAAAATTTAAATTTTTAATAATACGTGTCTTTTTATTAATGTAATCTTGGAAAAACGTTAGTTTATTAATTATTATGAAATCGATTTCGTTTTTATATTTAACATCAGGTGATATGCAGGTCCACGTGGTTTTGTGGTTTTTTTTTTTGAAGACTGAATTGAGTAATATTAAGTCATTTTGTAGTAGAAATTCAATTAGTCGATGCCCGTTTGCACTCTTTCCATATCCATCTTTGCCCATCATCAATTCTTCGCCGGGTTCTCTGCAGCCAAACTGTGCATTAAACTCACCCATGACTGTACGGAAATTATGATGGTATTTTTTTTACTAATATCAGACAGATTGCAGTAAAAGCCTTCACTTTCACTTTCTAGTGGTGGGCTAAGTCCGTGGGTGCGTACTCTTGTATAATTGTCCACGGTTTTTTGTATCTTGTCATATTAATGTTGAGTATTGCTATTCTGTCTGAAATACCTATCAGTTCATGTATATAGTTTTTCAATGTTTTTTTTTTTAATTAAGAAACCCACTCCTCTTTTCGCCTGCTGTTTCGCCTTTCTGATGTAATATGTAACCGATTCGTTCTTTTATTTTCTCATCTAACCTTCTCATTTCACATATGGCCAGGATATCAATTTTTATATTTTGTACCGCCTTTTCCAATTCGAATAACCTTTCTTGTGTTTGCAAAGTTCTTGTGTTGAGTGTTGCAATGTTAAATGTTTCACTTCTTTTTGCTGGTGGGTTTTGGTATAGTGCTCCCGCGGAGACCAGCCGTTGTGGGAGACAATCTATTTGTTGTAGCCGTTTCTGTTTGTTTCCGGTTTTCTATGGCCTTAATTAGTTTTTTGAGGAATTTAGGTTGTGATCAGATCTTGTTTTTTTCTACATAATTTAGTAAGTTTTGTCTAATAGTTTCATTTTTCTGTATTTTAGTACGAAATTGGTATGTATTTCTAGCTAAATAGCTTATGATGGTTTTTTTCTGCATCTGAGGGTTTTCTATTTCTTTTTTCACTACTATTGTCCTCCGGTTTTATCACTATGCGTTTGACATGTTTTAAATAGACAATGTTTCCTTTCATTTTTTCTTCTTCCACTTGGGATTGTAGTTGTTTACGTTTTTTCAGAGTTTCCTTGGAGTAATCCTCTTTAATTTGTATAATTAATGGGAGATTGAACTTGTTCTTGAGCACAAGATGTTTATTCCAATGGGTTGTAAAGGAAACTACAACTGGTCGGTTTTTGTTTTCCGTCCTTCTTCCGATTCTATGTACGTTACTAATATCTTGGCTATTCATTTGCACTCCTAACTATTCTATGCTATCCTTTATATAGTCGACTAATTCTCGCTCAGATTTTCCTACACCGAAGAAGACTCTTTCTAAGTATTTAATTTTCAGCTCCGGTTCTGATACTTTAATTTTGAGGAATTTGTTTACTTCAATTATTGCATTAATTTTCTCCTCTATTGCCTCCATGACGTTCTTGGTTACCGCCTGTGTTATCGGGTCGGCATGTTTATCCAATTTCTCGTCAAATTTTCTTAGAAGTAGTTCCATATTTTTATCCAGTGGTTTATTACTCTGGTAAATTTCTAGTTTTGTTGTGGTATCACAGTTTTTTGAGGGATTTTTATTTAATTTACTTGCAACCCCCATGTTGATGTCGACTAGCGTCACTGTCAGTGTCAGATGTTGTAAAATTGGTACTATGTAGGTAACGAGTCTATTGTCTATTGGTTAACGCGTTTTAGGTTATAACAGGGATTGATTGACCGAAAAATTATGGTTTATAACGGTTAAGGTTATGACGTCATACTTTTTTATTGCGATAGCTTAAAATTACGATACACAAATTTTTCAATACCAAAAAATGTGTGTACCGTATATATTTTTCACTGCTTTAACCATCAAGACAAAGGTTTCTTTACTAAAACTGCTCGGGGCAAGCGGAGCAATAAGACCAAGGCGACCCCTGTCACGCTATCAGTGAATTTTTGCAACATCAGTGGACTACATTCAAAACTTAACGCTGTCCACTACCATCTGGAGACCTTGATCTTTTTAAGTGAGATTCAGGTGTCCTCCCAAGCTGATACCTCATATTTCTCCTACCCGGGGTTACAAATTAGAACACTCCTTTGTGCCCCGGGCTGGAATTAGCGTATACGTCAGAAACGACATCTGTTTTCGACGCCTCGGCAGTGTTGAAGGTACGGACCTATCCATCCTATGGCTGCACGTAGGCAGCGACGACCTCAGCGAGGATTCGTCGCTTCGAGTCGCTGAGAATCTCTCAGCGATTTAGCGACGTTGCAAGTTCTCTCAGTGAAAGAAATCGCAACGTCGCGTCGTACTCATTCGTGCCGGCGCGATATGTTTCGTTACCGAAATAATTTCGGTTATGTAAAGGTTACACAAAGTTGTAACAAAACCCCTTAAAAATAGCGCTGTCTCAGATGGACATATGAAAAACACCAAGTCTTGATAATAGTTAATAGTTTATTGCGATTCTTTTACAACAACACTTTTTAGAGAAATGTTGTCTATCATGAGAACAAAAAGAATATTGTACAGCAATATGACGATAGTGACACAATTATTTTTCAAACAAAAATAATAAGGTCCTGTGGAATTTTTAATAGCAACTAACTTACTTAACTTGCAGTGGTGTGCGTTAACAGGCGCTACCGTTATTTTATATCGGTTGCGTATCTGTGAATTTTAACCGCTTTCGATCTATCTTTAAAAAATTGCGATATCAATATTTTGTACCGGTAGCGTAACCTTAACCGCAGTCAATGCCTGGGTTATAATTACGATGAATGAATTCACTTTTATCGTGAAAGTATTAACGGCCGCACTATGATTATTGATTCTACATAATTTTAGTCTTTGTTTTGTTAGAATGTCCCTTGAATAATGTTGTTCTCACTGTTTTGCACTATTTATGACTTATATCACACGGAGGTATTTAACGTACTTGTTGACACTTTAGCCACCAAAACCGAAACCATACCATGTAGTTACAGTGTAATAATATCTCCTACACCATATCTTTTTTTACTTGGAGTATAGCCATACTGCACCTATATTACTGATATAGTTGTAGCACGAATGGATCGGCCCGACCGGGGAAGAACCACGCTCTCACAGAATACCAGCGTAAAATAGCAGTTTATCACTGCTGTATTTCGTATGGTGAGTGTAGAGAACCGGAGAACATTTTTACTGGAAAGGAGGCATTCCATCTTAGTCTTCAAGGTTGACAACGCATCTACATTTTGATTCGCAATCGAGGATAGATGTACATGTCTGTGGGTCACAGCAACCACTTGCCATCAGGTGGATTGTGTACTCGTCTATCACTCTATTCTATAAAAATAAAAAAGCAATGGAAAATACATAATATACAGGGTTATTTTTCAAAGAGTTGCCAAATTTCAGACTTAAGTTTAAACATATAAATAATGATATACCGTTATTGCAGTTTTTCGTAATACGAGTAAATAAGGCTTCTATTTTTATTGAAATTATCCCAAATTGAACGTGATTTATGAGCAACAACTACACCTATGCACGCTTCTCGGTGTGCGATTCATTTCACAACGTTTTTGGCGACCGATCGACCCTTACGAATGTGTGCGTGCGTAGTAAAATAGTGGGCGTTAGATATTTATGAATGACAATCAGTTAAAATAATGCATTATCACGCATTTTGAATTTAAAAAGTAATAAGCCTAGCCTGGACAGGCAGACAATCAAAAATTTAAAAAAATTGTTTGTTTGTCTTAACTTGATAGCATTCAAATAACCCCTGGAGCTGATGATAGTTATTTCAATATTACAGTCAGAAACGTCAATTTGATTTATATGTATAGATTATAGATGTATATATTACCTCGCTTGACTTGGCCTGCGACAACATGGCGTCGGGGAAGTGCCTGGAGAGGCGTCGCTGCAGCCAGTAAGCGTCGATGTCCATGGGGTGCAGGGTGGCATCGCGTCGCTTCTGAGTCTGTTCCTCGCTCAGCTGAGAAAAACAAATTATTATTTAATACTAGCGATCCACTTCGGCTTCGCACGGGTGATTTTTGAATCTCGACAACAGCGCCACCTACCGGGTACAATTGTGAATATAAACCACTCACTCAAACACACAAAAAAAAACTCATCAGAATCGGTCCCGACTAACGGACAGCAATTGATTTTTCAACCGACTTCAAAAAAAGGAGGATGATCTGAATTCGATTGTATTTTTTATGTGAATCTCATAAAAATTCTCATATAAATTTGACCAGTAGTTTTCGATTTTATTAATAATGCGTATTTAATTGACTTCGACTACATTGATGATGTTCTCATTTTATTTATATTCAAGTCAGTTGGACAATTTTATTTTATTTTATCACTTGTTATATATAGAGATAACTGACAACCCCTACCAGCAGAACTAAAATAGTTAATTAATAGTAATAATAACAATTTAGACAAGAAAAAAAATCACAACAATTTTTTTTACAATTTGAGTAGCATGCTCTTCAAATTCAAGTCAATGCTCTTCTTTTTCTTTTGCCTATATTATACAACAAATTATATTACTTAAAGTAGCAATAATTGTGGGTGCGTGCGTGCGTGTGAGTGTGAGTGTGTGTGCGTGCGTTTGTGTGTGTGTGTGTGTGTGTGTGTGTGTGTGTGTGTGTGTGTGTGTGTGTGTGTGTGTGTGTGTGTGTGTGTGTGTGTGTGTGTGTGTTAATAGTTTTCTTTTCTTTTTCTTAACTTTTCACTTTTGTTTTTCTGCAGTTGGTTGTGTATTTTGAAATCCGTAACAAGGATTTCAAAATACACAAAATCTTCAACTAAAGCACTAGGTTGAAATGGCAATAGGTGGATAATGAAGTTCAAAATAAACTGAACAAGTGCGAGTCGGACTCGCGCATGTAGGGTTCCGTACCGTCACACACGTTTATTGTAGGGGAATTTTTAATTAATTTTTATTTTTATTATTTATTGTTATAGCGGCAACAGATATACACATTCTGTAAAAATTTTAACTGCCAACCTAGTACGAATAATGAGTTACAGCTCGCTGACAGACAGATAGACGGAAGGACGGACAGAAAACGGAGGCTTAATAATAGGATCCTGTTGGTTAACCTTTGGGTACGGAACCGTAAAAACCGACAACCGATAGGCAAGAAAAGTTTTTGAGGCAGCCTCATACTGGTAAACGCAAAGTTAGACGACCCAACGTTAAATGGAACAAATTAAACATAGAGAAAGACGATGGATACAGGAATATCCGGAACCATGCTTTGTGGCATCCCTTGTTCGAGACCCAGCAGTAGACTGATATGCTGTAATGATGATGATGATAAATGAATGATGAAATTAATACTCACATTTGCATGAATAGCATTCTTCTTTCCTTCTGTGTCGCTGTCATCTTCTGCGCTACTCTCTTTCCCTTGTTCATTTTCTGAACCCTCCCCATCTTCTTTCTCTTCATCTCTGACCTGAAAGGAAGTTAAGGTATATTATGTCATCTCTGATATAAGAAGATGTGACTGTTTTCTGTACAAAATTCTCAGTAGAAACAAAACAGAAGTCTTTTGCTGCAGCTATATTACTGGTATAGTTGTAGCACGAATGGGTCTGCGACCGGCGAAGGACCACGCTCTCACAGAATACCAGCGTAAAATAAGAGCTTAATGCTGCTGTGTATTGTATGGTGAACGTAGAGAACCAGAGACCCTTCACTCCACCTGATGGTAAGTAGTTGCTGTGACCCAAATACATCCACATCAATCCTCAATTAAGAATCAAAATGCAGATGTTTTGTCACCCATGAGGACTAAGATGGAATGCCTTTTTTCGAGCAAAAAGGGGCTCCGGTTCTCTAAACTCACCATACGAAACACAGCAGTGATAAGCTGCTATTTCACGCTAGCATTCTGTGAGAGCGTGGTCCTTCCCTGGTCGAGCCGACTCATTCGTGGTACAAATATACAATTAACATAGCTGCAGCATGGCTCTACCACATATAAAGCTATGTGGTAGAGCCAGAGCATATTATTCCTGGGCCTTATCTCTCTACGTTCCTGTCAGATTGCTGTCCTATCGGACTATCAGAGTAAGGGGGTAGAGGACTCCAGTGTCTGCACTCTGCACACACTTGTGCACTATAATCTTGTCCTGCACAGATGGGCTAGTCTTCTTTGATTGTTAACGCCGTTCTCACACATATTTAAAAACTGAGTGAATACACAAATCACATCGATGTATCATCATATAATTACGTTCATTATTTATCATCCCTTTCCCACGCCTTATCCTAAAGAGTCGGTGAAAAGAGATAGCGCGTGCTGCGACTAGAAGATTCGACGTAAAAGACAACGACCGTTTTTTCAATTCGCTTCCAGATCACTTACGAGTAACATCGGACACCGCCTGTCATTTAACCCGCTGTGAAATATACCCAGCCCCGCGTAATTGTGTTCTGTTCGAAAAATTAGATTTAGAAAACTATTGTCGAGTGAGTGGTGCAAACAAGAGAGACCAGCAGCCGCACAGAAAATAGCTGAGCTATCGGGTAAGTCATCGACTATTCCCTCCTGAATCACTGTAATAGCGCCTTTGCACCACCAATTGAGAATGGTCGTGATCGAAATTCAATGTGGAGGACATTTTTATTGTTATTGGAAAAAATATTCTGAAATTTTTTACAATTTAATAGATTTCATTTTATTTCAGCAGAGGTTTTGAGTAAGATTGGGAGCTTTTACAAACAGTTGTAAATATATTTGTTGAAACCACATGTAAATGTGACAACCCAAGTAAGGTTAAATGTGCTTACAATATTCTAATGATATCCCCAAAAGAGTAGATAATCAACAAAACATATAAGTGAGAATAATAACATATAAGGTAGCTCAATCAAGACAACAGAAACTGACCTCTCCATAAGCATCCTCGTCATCCTCCTCAGAAGACTCCTCAAACTGCACATTGATGCCGTACGTCTCGTCTATCTCGGAGTTCCCTTCCGTTGTTGTGCTGATGTTGAAGTCTGTGATCTTCTTGCCCAGGTTGACTAGCAGCGCGAACCTCTCATCAGGAATGGATCCAAGCAGCAGTTCAATCTCTTTTTTCTTCTCTGGGTCTTTCAATTTGTCATTTTTAAGGACAACCAGGACCTGGTAGATATTTTTTTGTGTAGTAAATATTGAATAGCAGTCAAATTAAATATAAGAAAATGCGTGAGTGTCCTGGAACACTCGGTTAGTACGAAGTTCCTTGCGTAGTATATTATATATTATTATTGATAAACGTATTATATTATTGATTAACAAATACAAATAAATGAATTAATAGCGTCTATTAAAATGAAGCGTCATTTGGAATAAAATAATATTTCTTTCACGGCAAGATAAGAAAAAGTGCGAGGGAGATGGATATTATTCCATCTCACTTCCTTATTTCGCCGCCAAGGCCTTCTACACTATGACACAAAGGGTAGTGACGAAAAAATCTTACACTTTTTATCGCCTAGCTCCCATCTGCCAAACCCGTATGTCCCGATAAGGAACTTCGTTCCAATAAAAACAAATATTAGTAATATAATAAGCTAAGACGCAATGTATCAAAGAATTAACGCCTTGACTTTAGAAGCAAATTTCTGAAAATTATTTTGTTCTTTCTTGTTTTTGGGAGTTGTTTTTTAATTTTTGCCAAAATATATGGTAAAGTCATGCTACAGCTGTATTATACCTAGTCAGGTCATAAATTCTGTCACATGTTTAATATAAAATAATTGAAACAAGTTTATTCATTATGTAACCATTTATATACCAAAATGTACTTAACAAAACATAGATTCTTATGACACTAAAGTTTATTCAAAATGACCTCCGAGATTTTGAATACAGGCCTTCAATCTGCGCGGCCAGTCATCTATCGCAGCACGAACGAGGTCCATGTCAATATCGGCGGCAGCCTTAATCAAGGATGTCTTGTGTGACTCCAAATTGGGATGAGGCTTTGAGCAAGCCTTTTCCTCCAAGTGTTGCCATATCTTGTAATCTAACGGATTCAAATCTGGACTGGAGGAGGACCAGTCTTCGTGCCGGATGAAGTCGATTTCACGCGCCGCCAGCCAGTCTTGTGTGCTCTTCGCTTTATGAGCTGGCGCCGAATCTTGTTGGAATACCCAGTGCCTGTTATTGAACATGGTATGAGAAACAGGTTCCACAAGGTTCGTCAGGACTGTATTTTGATACACAACTGCATTCGTTTTTACACCTTTCTCACAAAAAAGTACCTCTGTTAAGCCCCAATAAGAAACTCCCAACCATACCATGAGCGAGGATGGAAAATGACCTCGTTGGACACGCGGAATACGGTTGCTCGCTTCTTCACTACTGTGTGCGTACACCTTATCATTTTGTTTGTTGTAGCTCTCTTCTACGGTAAAAATTTTTTCATCCGAAAAAAGAATTACCCGATATTTTTTTCCCGCGTACCGCTTCAACAAAGCGCGGCATCTCCTCAGTCTCAGGTCCATTAGACGAGCATTCAAACGATGTCCTGTTTTTCTTCGATATGCCCGAAGCCCTAAGTCTTCATTTAACACCCTTTTCACCGTGGTTTTGCTTAACCCCATCTGAAGGGCCAATAGTTTCTGCTTACGTTTGGGATTTCTTTGAATTCGCGCCTTCACAGCTTTTATCACTGCTGGAGTCCTAACAGACCGAGGGCTACCACTTCTTGACCTGTCATCTACACTAGAGTCTTCATTGTATCGTTTGATGGTACGATAAACGAATCTTTTGGTTATATTCAAATTTTTCAGTATGTCAAAAATTTGATTTGGCGCGTAACCGCAACGATGCAACGCAATAACTGCAACACGGTCTTCATTAAGCGTCCACTCCATATTTAAAAATGAGTAAAATTCTAAAAAGTATACAGTTTTATTTTCATGAACAATTCGAAATTCGATTTCAATAAACTTTTTTGTGGCCAGCATTCTAAAAGAAAAGTTTTTACTGTGTGACAATACTTATGACCTGACTAGGTAGTTGTTGCACGAATAGGTCCGGCTCGACCGGGGAAGGACCACTTTCTCACAGAATACCAGTGTAAGGCTGCGTTTCCACCATAGATGTGCTAGGTAGCTGGGCGATGCGAGGATGTGTATTGTGTTGCCGTCGAGTGGCTATTTTTTCGCTCGCGTCCACGTCTAGCATACATCCCTCGCACGCATTATTTCCTTGTTTTGTATGTACAAAAACCTCACTCCGCTGAGCCGTTTCCACTAAAGCAGCACTGAGCGAGGCTAGGTAAATGAAGTGATTCTATTGGTTCTTAACAAACACATTCCTCGCCACGCATCCTCGCACACCTCTGGTGTAAACGCAGCCTAAAACAGCAGCTCAATACTGCTGTGTACTGTATGATGAGTGTAAGAACTGGAGACCCTTTTTACTTGAAACACGGCACTCCATTCTGGTCTAATCTCAGGGGAGAACACATCTGCATTTTGATTCTTTATTGAGAATAGATATAGATGTCTATGAACCACAGCATCCACTAACCATCAGGTGGACTGTGTGCTCATTTATCACCATCATTCTAAAAAAAATACACAGTTTGTTCTCAATATATGATTATATGTTCCAATTAAGGTTTTGAAATGTTTTAAGCCTGGTGTATCAGACCAGATCTAAAGTGATTATTTGTGGTAAAGAGTTACAAGGGTTAGTTGGTCCAAGCTTTATGAAATTCCACAAAATGGCTCAATTTGATACAAATATTCTTTACCTTGGATTATAAATAAAACTAATAAGTGACTGACATTCAATAGAAAGTAGTTTCTTATATTGGTACTGAAAACCAATCTCTATTCTAGGAAGAATCGAAAAAACCTAGAGCGACTCCTTCCAATGAAATAGTTTCATAGATTAATTTAGAGGTATTACCTATTTTAATTACTGTGCTGTGTGTGAAAGGAAATTCACCAGTGTGAACGCAGCGTGCGCACGAACCGAACATGTACCTACTCACATCTGTGTCAATCTGCTGAGAACATGCGAAGAGAATGGAGTGTGACAACCAATTGGTCACACTGAGGTCTGAAGTCTGAGCTAGTGCAGAATTAATGACTGACAAGAGTATTTCAGCACGCGTTCAGTTCGTGTTCACGCGCGTTTCAATACAACCTGTCCGCACTGGCGGTCCGAGCACACTGTGCACCCATTTGTGTTCGTTCGAATAACCGACAAATCACGAATCGCTCCGCGCGCGACTAGTAATGCTCGTATCGTACGCATGATATGCACAGTTCGCGAGCGCAAGGCGTCAAGACTATGAAAATTGGTTACATTGCATACACTAATGTGAATGGCAAATTATTTCATTTCATGTTACGTTGCTTAAGTCTGTATGCAGCATATAGCTGTTGATCTTCCAAATAAAATAAAATACACAAATAAAGATAAAAATAGATAAATTACTCACTTTGAAGTGTCAAGGAAATGGTGTGGTGTTGCTACTAGATTTACGAGGGCTGCACTAAAAGTATCGGGAATAGAATATTTCCACTGTTCGTGTCATATTAAAATCTTTTTAATTGAAAACCCCTTGGTTTTAAAAATCGAATACCATTTATTTATTTAAAAAAAGATTCTCGGTCTTGCCACAAGGTTTTATCAAATTTGTTTAGTCGTCGAGAAAATTCAAGAGCGATGATTAATTATGACTTTCGAACTGGTTTAAAACAAAAACAGTTTGTTGACCAGATGATTTCTGCATTTGGTGATGAAGCCCCATCTAAAACCACAATTTATCGCTGGTTTGCTGAATTTCAACGTGGACGTGTCAACTTCAGTGATGATCCCCGTCAAGGTCGTCCAAAAACTGCAGTCACCAAAGAAAACGTTGATGCTGTGCGTAAGCTGATTGAGGAAGATCGACATGTGACATACCGCGAAATTCAGGCAACTTTAGACATTGGCATGAGTCAAATACAAATACTCTTGCATGAACAATTAGGTGTAAAAAAGTTGTTTTCCCGATGCATACCGCATTCGCTCTGTGAAGAGCAAAAAGCGGCTCGCGTTACTTGGTGCGTGAGAACTCTCGAAAGATTCCACGAAGGATCCTCAAATGCTGCATACAACATCGTATCAGGTGACGAATCCTGGATATACGCGTACGAACCCGAAACAAAAAACCAGTCACGAGTTTGGGTGTTCGAAAATGAGTTAAAGCCAACAAAAATTGTTCGTTCACGCAGTGTTGCAAAAAAAGTGGTGGCCACGTTTTTCTCCAAAACCGGCCATGTTACGACTATTCCCCTTGAGGGACAAAGAACGGTTAATGCAGAATGGTATGCTAGCATTTGTTTGCCACAGGTCGTTTCTGAACTCCGTAAAAAGAACTGCAATCGCCGCATCATCCTCCATCACGACAATGCGAGTTCTCACACCGCACACAGAACTAAAGAGTTTTTAGAGCAAGAAAACATAGAATTATTAGACCATCCGCCGTACAGCCCCGACCTAAGCCCTAATGATTTCTATACTTTCCCTAAAATAAAGAATAAATTGCGTGGACAGAGATTTTCATCACCTGAAGAAGCTGTGGACTAAAACGGCCATTTTGGAGACCCCAACTTCCGAATGGAATAGTTGCTTCAATGATTGGTTCCATCGTATGGAAAAATGTGTTAAATTTCGCGGAGAATACTTCGAAAAGCAATAAATACATTTTTAAATAGTAATGGTGTGTCACTTCCTTTCCACACACACAAAATTGTCATTTTATTTTATTTCATTTTTTTTAATTACAGTATGTTTATTTAATACATATGATATTTTATCATACATAATATATAATAAATAAACATGTGTTATCACACCAACAAATGTTATAAAGACAACTACAGACAAAACAAAAAACTTTTTTACATTAATTATTTTGGTGCCACCTCCCACTATCATTTGTAGATAGTATGAATGCTGGCAGAGACATTGATAATACAACAAATCAGATGTCTGCACAGTTTCAACTGTGCGGAGACTATTAGTGGGAACTTGACTGGCGGCGGTTTGCTGCTCCTATATTATTGTTTAAATAATGGTTTGAAGTGAACTTTGATATGTAAAAGTGGTGCGATTTTGTGTATTAAGTGTCTGCGCAAGTGAACTATTACTGGAAATGGTGAAACAAGTGCTCTGATGGTGATGTGATTCTCAAGATAAGGTGTCTGTCTGCTTAAGCACCGTGAGATATTATTGCCAACTGTCAGCTGTCTGCTGGCTCAAGTTGCCGTCAAAATCTCCCAAGGGCTGCACAATGTAACACCTCAACATATTGTGAAACAGTGTACTATGAAGGATAATTATACATTGTAACTTCAGGCTCAGAAGGGCTAGAACCCAGAGCCGTAAAGCCAGTTAATTAAAAAAAATTGCTTGCTGCTTTTATACTGAGTTGTGTGCAACATAGCAATTGGCTTTGGGTGAGATTTGCGGCTGAAAACCAGGTTGTATACTTGAAGCCTAAATAATCAAACGTTAATTAAAACCTTGTCGTAAATAAAAAAGCTACTTTAGTCCATAATTACAGTTACCTCATCACAAGCACCGCACAGCACGTCCCTGGGCTGGTCACCAAGGGCGCTCTGCATGAAGGACAGCATCAACTCGTAAGCGTGCCTTGTGTGTTGCGCCCGCGGCCTGTACAAGACGCCTGGTGTGTCGTCGGCCCATGCAGCTCGGGCAGTCTTCGACTTGGACAACTCGTAGGATGCCTCGTCTCGTTTCTGACGTCTGTGTAAGATAGATATAGAGGCTATAAATCAGACTTTTAATAAAAAAAACCACTTCTATGTTGTTCAAAAATTAAACAGCGTTTACTTTTTTTAAAATTTATTAGTGAATTGTGATTATTTGCCAAATGGGCATATAGTGTCGGCAGACACACATAGGGCATGCATAAGCTGTCAACCTAGCCATGACACTTGAGGGGTTATATTATTTCTCTTAAATTACATCAGTATCCATTTTCACTTGTAGAATACTTACTTAGCTTTTCTCTCCTCAGCCTTATCAGGCTTCGTTCGTTGGGCCCTATCACCCATGCGTGTGCCACCAAGCTTTCCTGCCAAGGACAGCACCTCTCCAGTTGCCTCATCACGTCCACGCCGTTCTATAAGCCGCACGTCAGCTTGCAGGACAAGATTTGAGTTCTGAAAGGTTATATCAAGTTTACACAATAAGCAAATTCTCTTTCCAGTAAGTTAAAGAATTTGTCATGAATTTCAAATGATCGAGTTGTCGTAGGTATCTCAGGAACTAAGCGCACGCCGCAATACGTTCTTATAATAAAGAACCTAATAGCTTCGATATTCAAGCTTTTCTATTAACCTTTCAAGTTCCCAAATATCCATATAGAGATCTTCTTTTCAAAGTTATAGACCCCGCCAAAGAGTATAGTAAATAGTAATATCACTCAAGTTCTGAACACTCTTTATCTATTAAATAAAGAGTGCTCAGAACTTAGAGTACAAATAAGCAAGATCTAAAGCGCGTGTATCGCTCAATGCACATTATGTCAAGCGTAATCAGATGTTCTATAGATACTGATAAATAGTTGAGAACGGTTGAATAGTGATACACCTAGATTAATGCCTATGCGTTATTGTAATTACGTTATTTACTTCATTATGTAGGTATTTGTAAATATTAGGTAAGCGATAATTAGAAGGTATGTTTTAGCTCAATAAAACATAGGTACGAATTTATGAAACTATGTTTTTTAATCAAACACCAAAATCTAATTAATTAACTCCTCATTAAAACCATATTATACCCCTGTATATATGGTTTAAATGGGGAGTACTGGGAACTAGACAACTTCCTGACAGGGAATGAATAAGGGAGTCAAAATGCTACAAATTTGATCCCAGATATGTTTGACTGAAAATGAACAGGTCTTGAGATATACGGTTTTACAAGGTTTTTCAATAATCGTCCAGAATTTCGTATTAAATCTATACATATAATAAATCTGTAGAAAAGTCATGTCTGTATTTCTAATATATTCTTGAAAAAACAAGTCCAGGGGACTAAATAAAGGGTTCTGAAGCCAAATTAGTGGTTTTTAGAATTTTTGTCTGTCTGTCTGTGTATTACGGATTCACGCAAAAACTACTAAACCGATTTACATGAAATTTTGTATGTAGGTAGTCAGTAACCCGGGACAACTTATAGGCAACTTTTTATCCGTTTACGGAACTTCAAAAAAGGAAGGTTAAGTATTTTATTTCCTTTAGATGTTAATTTTCTGTTATATCTTAGTTATAGGCGGGATGACGGGTGTTTTTCAAATAAATACCATATTTGTAAACAAAGTTTAAAATATAATTATAATCTTGGTAAAATAAGTTGAAACTACACCGATTTCGTATTCAAAACAGCGCGATCTATCACCAAATGGAAAAAGTAGTATATTTTGCTTTCAATTATAAATGAAATAATATAAATAACTTACATTTATATGATTAAATTATTACATTTTTAAAATAATTAAAAAATCCTAACATTCAGTTTTTTAGTATTTTTGTTATTTTATTTTAAAAGTGCATTAATTTCAATATATAATAGTGACGTCTATCAAAAATATGAAAATTGTGGTATTTATTTCAATTATTAATATATAAATATGTAAAGTGATTAAAACTGGTCTGTCTGCAATTGTTGCAAAATTTTCATTATTATCATAGTTTTATTAAAGAGATTTTTATGTATGTCGTGGCCAAATCGTAGAATTGATCATATATTATAGTCTATCATTTCATGAAATGGTGTGGTCATTTTATGATATTTAAGACTATTTGTTGACCATGTAATGATATAGCTTAACCAAATCAAAGAATAGAAATCGTTTGAAAATATTATTAACTAAACACAACTTTGCTATTTCATAATATGGTCATATGACAATATCATTAAATCGTTTTTCATCGCTAGCGGCGCTGATAGCTTATTTTTTAACAGAAACAGAACTTTCAAGAGAATTGACATCACTTTATCCCTTATTGATATAATAAATAAATGTTCGCTTCTATTGCTGATATTACTAGATGGTATAGTTTTGGCTTTCATTATTTCATGTAATATTAGCGCCACCTACTTACTTCTAAATAAACTAAAATGGCAAGTCATTGATAAAATTAAATAATGCAATGCTACTGAATATACGATGTAAATTATTGAATTATTTACATTCACTTTTTTTAATTTTCATGGGACAATATATGCAGTTTTTATTTCATTCGTGTTTTCGGGTATATTACTTTTTGTTTTCACTCTACCGTAAATATGAAGGCTTGCAAAGATGTGTAGAACTCATTATCGTCAGCCTATCCTAACTCCACTGAAATGAACATAGGCCGCCCTCATAAATTGTCAAGTAGCTGGATATTTGCTATATTTGCCAGACTTGGTAGGCGGTTTGGCAACCGCAGCTGTTGTTATTTTGATCAAGAAGATGACGCAGCTCATCTCATCTCCTGTTTGTTTTCCTATGTCGCCTCTTACAATGGGACGATATGAGGTGGTGGATTTTCTTTCACCGCCACAACAGTGCAAACATTTTTCTACTCCCGTTCATGAGTGTAGTGTTCTGCACGTTCACTGTGTATAAAATTTATAAGGAATAAAGCTAATTTTAAGGATTTTATCGCATCTAATTTTAACTTTTTAATTTCCAGATGTTTTGGGCACTTTACAGCACCCATGTTCACGGGAGGGGCAGGAGAACTGAGGTGTTTGACGACCTGATGTCATAGTTAAAATAGAATAGAATAAATGCAGTAGTAGTTTTAATTTAATTTTATTAATTATAGGGTCCTTAGCAGATGGTAGCACTCGGCCATCTTCCCTATTAAAATTAGGATATTTTTAATTTCAATAGCCTCGCGAATCATCATTGGTAGGATTTGGTGTTCTATTGCAAGGATTTGTTGTCTATCAGATTCGATATAATGGTTGGGGTGATACTAAACATGTTGACATACTTTAGACTTCCCGGAGCTTCGGTGCTTCACATCAACAATATTATGTTCTTTTACTCGAAACTTTCATCCAAGACGCGTAAAAAAACCCGTAACATTAGTTTTAATCCATGTGTGGTATTCATTATTATTTATGAAATTTTCAAGTCTACTCGCAAGTAAAAAAAATATCTATATCTATTTTAGGTTTATTTAAATCAGGAATGTCTAGAACAGGTAAATGAAATTGTATACTTGGGGAGTGCTTTTAGCCGGGATGGAAGATGTGATTTAGATGTGGACAGGCGTGTCGCTGCCGGGAACAAAGTCAATGGTGCCCTGACTGCGTTAGTCAAAAGGCAAGGCGTAGTGAAGAGTGCACGCCTTGCAATACATAACGCAGTGTTGGTACCGTCTGTTATATGGCAGCGAAACCTGGGTATGCCAGAAGAAGCATAAAAGCAAGTTGAATGCAGCGGAGATGCGATCTCTTCGTAAAATGTGCGGCGTTACCATGGCCGACCGAAAGCGAAACGATAAGATTCGCAATATGGCAGGTTTGAAAGATGGCCTTATCACAAAAATTGATAAGAGCGTGCTTCGATGGTATGGGCACGTTGAGCGAATGAGTGAAGACTGAATGGTGAAGAAAATATATAGCGCAAAAGTTAATATTAAAAGGTATCGAGGTAGACCGAGACTAACTTTCGAAGACCATGTGACCAAATTGCTCGAAGAGGGGAGGGTCAAGAGTACTCAGATACCTAGACGTGCATGTATGAAGAAGATAATGAATCTGAAAGAAGCGAAAGAGGTATGTAAGGATCGTGACACTTGGCGATCTGTTCTCTCTGGCTACCCCGTCAGGGTAAGTGCGTGAAGATAAGTATATCTATTTTATGTTGCCAATCAATAAATATTAAATAGGACCAATGATATGAACAAAATGTCTCAAATAAACATTATATTACTTTGTTAAAACTAAATTAACTTTAACTATGAATAAATGTAAAGAGTAAAATGTAAATAATAATAATACATTTTGATTTCAAGACTATTTACCTTTCTTATGGATGCATCGGAATCGGAAGACACGCCCAATATAAAAAATAGTAGGTGTTTCTAGACATATATATTCACGTGTTTCTGTAGCATGTTACCAATCATCTACGTCTAATAGTATTTTAGAATGAAAAAAAAATCTTTGACAGACATAGAGACATAGACTCTAAAAGTGATCGAATTTTTCTCAATTTGGCACGGAACAGCATTTAATGATGTCCCTAAATTCAAGCGCACGCGAGCGATGCCGCGGGTAAACAGCTAGTTCTAAATAAAAGTAAAACCTTTTTTGTATGCTTTCTTTTAATTTTATTTATTTTCTTGAAGCTTCAACGAAGTGAATACAATCATATAAAGTACAAAAGTATTCACAGTAAAAAAATATGGGTTTTAATTAAAAAAAAAATTCTATTTTTACACTTTATATATAATAAAATGTATAACATGAGACAAAAATATTTTAAAAAATATGGCCATTTAATCAGCTTTAAGCATTAAATCATTTATCCAAAAAGGTAATAATATCCTGGTGAAATCAATGAATAATAGTAAAAAAAGGGTCTTTAACTTAAAGCAGGTAGAGAATGGCAATGAATGATTGCTGGTCTGGTGGATTGGTTGTTGACCACTATTCAGAAAGCAGACGGCCAATTTAAATTGAGTCATAGCAACGCTTGTTAGTTAAGCACATGTTTAAACTTCTTTCTAATAAACCCATTGCCTTAATTCATTTGTTATTGTTTTCAGTCATTATCGTTATTGTTATTACTGCTGTTACTGTTATCTTTTGCTGACTGTTCATTGTTACTGCTTTTTATGCGTCGAAGTTAAAATGGTGTCATATTCTAATAAAAAATATGCCCACATCATGTACTGTTATGGTTTTGCTGACAGCAACATTGCTGGGGCTCAAAGAGAATATCAATGTTGCTTTCCTAATCACCGGCTTCCCCACATTTCTGTCTTCGAAGCTACCTATCGACGACTAAGCAAAAGCAGCACTATTCACAGAAATCAAGTGGATACTGACTGATCATGACATTTTACGGCTGACGATAAAGAAACAATTATGCAACATTTTATTGATGACCTTAACATCTCAACTAACATTGTAGCACGCCGGCTCAGTATGTCCAAGTGGAAGGTATGGTCGGTGGTGCACCTGTCAGGCCGACTAGACTTAAGAGAAAAATAACACTTTTCTCTAAGTATAGTTGCCGCCACTACATGGTAATTGATAACTTCACAAAACATTTTATTTATGGGCAACGTCTTGCAATCGTCTTTCTCTAGAGCTGATCTAAGCTGACCTTCATAGAAATATTGCGATATTTTATTGTTGATAAATTTTTATTTTTGAATATGAACATTGTCTTCAATAGTGACTCCTAAGTTATATTTATCTTAATTTTTATTTAAATTGCCTTTGGCCTGACCTACTACTCTTTGGCTTGACCAAATGTTTGATTAAGTTGGTGGTGGTTAATGTCGAGGCCTGAATTGTTAAAAATACCACAAGTTGTTGTATTTTTACTTGCTGTCTGCAACTTTTATTAAACATTTTCAGGCATAAGTTAAGGTAAGTTTAAGGTTAAACTGTGCAAAAAAATGAATTTTGTAATATATATTATATGTATTTAAATTAATCAAAAAACATAATTGTTCTATTGCACAATTAAAAAAAAATTTAACACAACACTCACCGCTTTATATTCATATTGCAACTGCCTCGCAGCCGCATCCGCCATTATTAATTAAGATTTTTATTTTATATTATCGTAGTATTTACTTTATAACTGTAGATATATTCATAGAATTAAGCTGAAATGCACAACCACAAATTAAAATGTCAATAAAATGAGGTTGTATTAATCACAGAACACTATTATTCCTAGTCCTAGTATTTATGTACTATAAAATGCCGCTGCTAGGCTTGGGAAAAATTTCGATTAATCGAAATATCGATATTTATTTAGGAGTTTCGAAATCGTATCAATTTCGAAATATTTTAAAATGTTGTATTAATGACAAATTTGCAAAACATGTAACTTCAAAAGGAGGTACAAAAGTATTCATGAGTGGTTGGTTGTTGTTTTTGTTTATCATCTAACCGTCAGTAATATAAAATTTTGGACCTAATCTTTACATCATGAAATTGATGACGATATATCGGTATTTATCACACTATATTTTTAATCAGGATCGATATATCTATATCGATCCTGTTAAAAATATCGATTCGATATATATCGATATATTTTTCCCTTGCACAACCCTATCCGCCGCCCCATCTTTATTATTATTATTTTATTTTATTAAAATGTTTGGCTTCAATATATGTCTTTTAAGCCATGTCTACATTTCATTCGGGAACTTTTATAGATTTTTAACCGTCTTCAAAGAGCAAAAGGTTCTCAATTAAAGTTTAAGTTTTTTTGGTATGTGTGATCGCAAATTCTAAACTGTTTTTAATTATGACTTTTTTGTTAAATAGGCTTTACAAAGGGTAGTCCTATTAGATTTTGAAGATAAAATTCCGTCCCCAAGATTGAAAAATATGGGGGAAAAGTTTCATATTTAACTATTGTTTAAGGAATTTCATATGATATCTACGCAGATAGAGAACCGATTTTAATGATTCTTTTATTTTTATTAAATAGGTTATACGTCAAGGGTGGTCCCATGTAAATTTGGAAAAAAAATCGACCCCTAATAGTAGTAAAGAAATTATTGTTGTATTTAAAACTTATTTTATAGCAATTTAAATTCGGTATTTACTTTTTGTTAAAAGTTATAATTATCAGTATCAAGTGATAATAATTTTTTACAATACACTGCTTCACAATAGGTTGATGCGTCATATCTGGAGAATATACTGTACACTGCTTCACAATGGGAGATTTCGACGGAAACTTGAGCAAGTAGACAGTTGGCGATAGTATCTAAAGGCGCCTAAGGAGTCAGACACCTTATCTTGAGATTCACGTTATTATTGGAGGACTTGTTTCTCCGCATCCACTAATAGTTCACATGCGCATTTAATACACAAAGTCGCACCCCTTTTACGTATCAAAATCCAGTTCAAACCATTATTTAAACAATAATACAGGAGGAGCAATTATTATTAAAATATTTTTTAAGCTATACTCGTCAGTAAACCAGTAAATTCTAGAGCTGCCCTATATTATAGTATATTTTCTGACTTTAGCACAATATTATGCTCTATGATGTGAAATATCAATGACCTTATAAATATGGGATATTCTGTTCATCTGTCACTTCGATTATTATCGAACATCAATAATAATCGATACCACATACACAGAGACTGACATATTATAATTAAAAAGAACAAAGGTTTTTAGTTTTACTTTATTAATCTCTTAGTCACATACCAATCAATACAGCGTCACTTAATTACAACAAGTTGATAATTAGCATGTCAAATAATCTAATTACTGAAAACTGATTTTTTCCTTTACTACTTTAAAAAAATGCCTAACAGTCTGAAGTTTACTGTACATTGTATATTTGCCTATTATACCGTTACCACTCAAATCGGAGAAAAGCAGTAATTGCAGCGCTGTTTTCCTGTTGTAAATGCAGTGCTGTTTTTCTGTGCTGTGTTCCATAGTAGACAAGAGGATGGTACCGTCCCAGAACCCAGATGGTTGACGTACAGTGTTAAAAATTGATAAGCCGATATCGATTCTTGTATCTAAGCTATGTAATGAGGGCTAATAATTTTATGTTCACCAGATGTCGCTAGTTGACACTGACAGAAAGTTTTTTTGTTATACAATGTTGTTTACTTGAGAATGTAGTTTTAAATACAAGTTTATCAATTTCTAGAGTATTATAATAATGAACAAAACAATGCCTGAGTGGTTTTCTCTTTAATTTATTGCACATTTTTAACTTTTTTCTATTTTTCTAGTTTTAGGAATGTCTGTGATAGGGTATATTTATTTTTACTCGTATTAATATAAAATATATCTAATTGTTCGCGCCAAACGCTGGTTTCTGAATCGACGTTAGAGGGCACGCCGCTCGGTGCCATACCGGTTTTAACGCGGTCGAGCGGTGGGTGTTGAGAACGCGTAAAGGTGCAAGTCAGTCGTCTGCCAGCTGTGCTTGGGACAGCACACTATCATTTTTTGTCGGGAACTCGGAATAATTAGGCGCGGCTCGTAAATGTACTGTCTAGGATTTGTAACGCGTATTCCTTGCTGTAGAGCTTCCCCGGGACTCATTGGGCTTGACTCGGAATCTGTATAGGTGCATTCGACAATATTATCTAGTGCGACCTTTGATATTCTAGAAATAACTGTTGCTACGCTAAACGGTAGTGACCTTTGATCCGGACACTCCGTGTTCGTTTTTTGCGTTAACCTTATAACAAACGAGAGTTAGTGGCTTCTGTAAATTAGTTAATCGTACGATAGAGTTAATGGACTGTCATCGTGACGAACGAGGAAAGTGACTGTGGACAACGCCGCGGAAGACCTCAATTTGGAGCAGCCTGGAACTCGGCCGCTGCTGGTCGCCTATGCTTGCCAAGGCCCCAAGCATTCACATCTCACTGTACACTACTCGCCATCCACTATTACACACACTCACGGCCTGCCTAAGCCTTGGTGCGAAGTTAGCTTCGGATAATGGTAAGTACGATGTGTTTCTAGCTTTCTACCTTATTATTTGGTGTAACTAGAGATTTTCCACGTGGCCATATTCTGGCCCCGTCCCTCTGCTGCTCGTCGATGGGATTACTCATGGGCCCTAATCCCGTCATCCTTGGTTGGGGCAGCTAGGGGCGTGTACACTAATAGTACAAAAATATACATTAACCTTTACATTTTCCGGACAAATTTACTTCTCCGCTATGAAATCTGTCTAATATAATACCACAATTTTAAATAGCGCCGCCCTGGTAGCAGAAAAAATCGTGGATGCAAAGTTGCAAAAAATGCATTGGCAAAAATGTCTATTTAGAAACCTGTGTCGTTTTCCTAAATTACCAGGATTTTTTACGAAGATAATTTGTTGTGTTATATTTTGTATTATACGGCTTTTTTTCCTGAAAATACGGCATATGGAAGGCCTCTCGTTGCCGTATTACAAAATATGGCAATAGCCCATGAGGTGAAACGAAACGTTTTTTCACTCATAGAATTAGAATACTTTTCACTTACTTGCGTATAGACCGACATAGATTGCAAGTGAGAATAAGTTGCACTTGCCGCGGTCAGTTCATGAATAAGTGACCATTTTCTTACCATACCGAGATTGAAAGAATAGAGAGTGCATCTGTATCCTCAGACACTTGGTGCACTTTACTCTGTTAAGATCATTATGTTTTTAAAACTCATGCAGCTAAAATGATTATAAGTGTATTATTACTTTATACTTTTCATGGGACAGATGAAAGAATATAAACATGAATCATAATAAAACCCCATAACCATATTGGCCTTTAAACAGACCAATCTTATTTAACTGATTCCTACAAGTTTCCTTTCTTAAATTATTAAGTTTACATTCATATAATATACTTAGTTAAGTATCTACCTATTTATATTAACAATATGTTAAAAATAATTTCCGAGGAAACTGTCCATGGCAGTAAATATTTTTTCCAAAGATCACAATTCGAAAAAACACCTTTCCGATCTGATTCTTGGAGAGTTTTTTTAAGTGTATCGGTTGAGTCACCTGGGATTTTATACTTTTCAAATAAAATCCAACAAATATGAATATTTTTTAATTTGAAGTTATTCAATTTCCTGCACCAAACCTATTTTTTAAACCTTTTTACCGCTTCATTTATAATCATTTTTCGATAGTCCTTGTACGTAAAATGTACATCAATCACTAGCTAACATAAACAATGGCAAATCAAAATTAGTCACGCGTTATATGGGCTGTCAGATCATCTATACGCCAGTATATTCTAAATCTATGCGTAAGCATCATAGTGTGTGTAATTACCTAATTACTCTTAGGTAGGGTTACCAAACGTCAGGATTCGTCCTGACGATTACGGGGTTTTTTTTGAAATGTCCGGATTTTTGGTAAGTTAGTGAAATACTAAACAAGTTAGTATTGTGTTATCTGTAGGAATAATAAAACTAAATCAAACCAACAGAATTCATATAAAAATAATATAGATAGTCACTCAGTAAGGAAACGCAGCAAGCATTCTTGGCACGATAACACAATGAGTAAAACTGTATGACAATTGAAATGCTTAGTTTTAGCTTTTATTTATTATATTTTTAGTTTTAGTTTAAGTTTTTCCTTATCAAAGATTTTTTTTTAATTTTGTGTATAACCTTCTAGTTATATTGTTTTATAGAATAAGGGTGACAAACAAGTACATAGTCTACTTGATAGTAAGTGGATGCTGTGGCCCATAGACATTTACCTACCCTCGATTAAGTATCATAATGCTAATACGTAGTCACCCCTGAGTACTAATATAGACCAAAGAAAAGAATTTAAAAAGAGATTGTAATAAAAGTTTAAAATAAACTATATGAAATAGGCTCATTTGACTTAATTAAAAACTTTGTAGATTAAATTTTAACCTCGATTAAGAATCAAAATGCAGATGCGTTATCACCCCTGAGGGCTAAAATGGAATACATACCTCGTTTCCAGTAAAACGGATCTCCGATTCTCTACACTCACTATACGAAACACAGCTGTAATAAGCTGCTATTTTACGCTGGTATTCATTATAATTATT